AATCGTATATTATAGGTTTTTTCACTCTGATTTTCTTAAGATTTTTCAGTCTTCTTTCAAAATAAATCTACTTCGCGAGGTATGTGCATCGAATTTTCTATTATCACGTGTGCATTCAAACTGTTAATGAAAGATCTATACAACAGCAAAAATAGTTGACATGTTTAGAATTTATTATTCTAGAGCCATAGATATTCTAGTAGAAGCCGTAAGCGATTTTTCTGGCAATTTCTGTAAAAAGGTTTGCTTTTATTGTTTGCTATTTGATGCAAAACTATTTCTTTGGCGCATAGAAAATTGATTAAACATTATCGGTTTAATAAACTTATTGCTACCCCTAGAAACTTTAGCTTGCGCCGCCCATGGATGTGAGTGGGTGCTGATGTTGATGTTACCAATTTTTTGTAGATAAACGTACCCACACCCTTAAGCCATAGAGCGAATTATGTTTGTGATCATTCCAAGCTATGGCAATATTAATGGTTTAGGACAAAAATAAGGTGTTTTCCGGATCATTTAAAAGAATGCTCTATAGCTGCTGAAGGGCATTGAGTATTTTTTGCGCTGTTTATTATGTCTACATTCTTTACGTAGATATGTGAAATTTTGTTTCACTTCACAGATGGTGCTACCGAGTCGATTAGAAAATTTACTGCTAGAAGTAAAAAATTGTAGCTTTCAAGTATTTGTGCAAATAATATTTTAGACTATTGTAAACATTCATCATGTTAGTCTTGTTCAAGATTTTATTTTATTTTTTCTATTTCAAAAATTGGAAATAAGACTTACAAAATATTTATTTTACTATAGAAGCTAAATTAAAAAGAAAATTAAAATGAGGTAAATATATATATCTTTGGTTTTTCTGTCACCATTAATAAAAGCATATCACATAAGCATACATGTGCTGGATGTAACCGAGTAATTATTCACTATTTTGATATTATTTGCTCCTGCATTAGCTAAATAAATTCCTTTAATTTGTTGTTGATCATGTTCTAAAACTTTTTGACGTATGCCATCAAGATTAGTTTCTTGTTCAGTTGAATTATTATCGACTGAAGGCTGATCTTCAATAAATACGTCATCATCATCATCATCATCATCAGAAACATTGATAACAATGCCTGGGTCTCCCTTAACTTTTGCAGTATCCACATAATTCTTAATAAACTGTTTTTTATGGACTTCATCATTTTCTATTTTCGATAATGAAATTTTTTTATTCAGACGATGAATGTAACGATATGAAGTTGTTGGTGTGGTCATCTTTTTAACTTTGTATACATCGAATTCTTTATTTTCCAGTTCTTGATCATCTTCAAAATCAGTGTCGAAGTCATCTGAACTCATCTCCATAAAAGTTTCTATCTGTTCAACAATATGATTCCCAGCTGAATGGCTATCTCGTTTTAAATTTCTAATAAATAATAGATAGAGAAAGAAAAAGATATTAACTAAAGGCACATGGTGGGTTTTCTTCTCTTTTACCTGCTTGGTAGTGCTTGAATTTTTGATTGTAGTGTTGGATCATCTGGATCAGCAATCATTAAAGTTAATAAACGTCTATCATTTATGGCTAGAATAATAAAATCATTATTAGCAATCATCGTTGTTACAAAGTCGTAAACAAATAATCTTGCTAATTGACGACGATCATGAACACGATACATGCATAAAACTCGAGGTTTAACAAGAGTAAATACATAGTTTCCTGATTCATTTAAACACAATTGTTCACATTCATTTTCAAGTTGTATAGGTTCATGACAAACACATAAATTAATATTATGTAAATTCAATTGATTCTCACCGTTAATTGCAGTAGCTAAGCAATTATTTTTTAAAGCATAAATATCGGCTGTATCAAATGGTGTTAGTGTAAACGAATTTTTATCCGATAATTGAATGCGACATGAGCAGAGGGATTTGTTTTCAAAGTAAAATAAAATAATTTCTTGATTAATTTCACTTGTCATACGTATTAAACGTGTTGAGGCATATTGTGAAAGATCAATATTCATATAAATAATTTCATTTGCTGTCCAGATGGCTAAGGAATGTTCATCATCAGCAAGTACAACAAGTGATTTTTTAGAATTAAGAGTTAACATTGAACAGAATAATCGTGTACAATTTATATTCAACTGTTTATTTGGTGTTTGATTATATTTGATATTAGTCTTATTTATTTGTCGAGTAATACAACGGACTGATCCATCATTTGTTATCACAATAAAAGTTTCATCATTTACACTAAATACTTGAGATGGATTACGTAGATGAACACGAAAAAGTGGTTCTTTATTTAGAGATTTTAATGCATAGATTTCAGCCCAGTAAGTATTGGTAATGATGAGTACAGCTGTTTCGGATAAAACAGCGAAATTATCGATTTTTGTCGAATCAGGAAAGTGACGTTTTGATTCAATGGATGTCGAATATTGATATACCCATGAACAAAGTTCACTACATAGAAAAGATAATCATATTAAGTAATAACTATTTTCTTCGAGATTAAAGAAAAATCAACTATGAATATGTTGATTGGTTCGTTCTATGTATAGTTCTTAATAGAAGTGTCTAAGAGTCTGTTTTGGTTTAGCTCATCGATATTAACTCTGTTGAATAATCAATTTTTGATCTGAAACATTAACTCTAGATAGGTCTTATAGTCATGAGAAATTCATCAAACCTTCAACTTCGATAAAGCACACATATCATGACAAGATAACGAGAAAGAAAACTGTATTCTAAGAGATCGCTTATATTTGTTCTGGCTTCAAATTTGAGATGTTACTATTGCTCAAGGGTCTAGTTTGTCATGCAAAACAAATGTTAACTCAATTGTAAACTCGTAGAGAATAAAATCAAGCCAAACAATTAACAAATAAAAAGCGGAAAGTCAAATCCTATCGGACTTCTTCACTATTCATCGTAACAGTCGTCCACAATATAAAAAAAACATTAGACATTTGTGAAATTTTGTGTACAAGTATTCCATCAATGATGTCATATCTATTCTGACTGTGAGTCTCATCACTCTAAAAGATCTTCCTATAAGTCAAGTCTATTTTCTAATCACCATAATGATAGATTTATTCTGAAATGTTAATGAAAAAGTATCAAGCCATGTAAGTAGATTCTTCAAAACAAATTAAGAATCAAGCTGATCGAACTATAATAGAGTTATACAACTTTTGATAGAGATTCAATGATAAAAAAAAGACTTCTAATTAGGATTTTGCAGATCTTAATGATATAATCAATAGAGATGTTTCATTTAAAATATTGTATTCTCATAATGGTTTCAGAAGATAGAGAATATTTTTTTTATAGCTAGATGCTATTTTTTGAGCCAGTTTGAATAGTGTTATATTCGAATATAGATGTCCTTCTCATAAAAATAGATTTATCGTTAATTTTCCCCCATCCTGTGCAGTCAAATTCTGAGCTTACCGTTTTGATGCATCCAGTGTAATTGCTCTTGTTCCCGACAATTGAATCGTACTAACTAATTCTGTGGTACGTGGCAGTGGCGGTAATTTCTTTAAAGCTTGCCGTGCTGCAAAACCATGATATGCATTAATAACTCCATTTTGCATTGAACATAGAAAAAGTCCCGCTTCAAGAAATTGATAAAAATCATTATTTTATTTTTCAATTGCAATCAATTCTTACCAGTATCACCAGCTGGCTTTATAGTAAGTACTGGCGATGAACTAATATCAATAGAAACAAGTAGTTGATATTCATGATTAAGATGGCAGTTCCCATTGGCATCATCTTCTCCTTCCGTGCACTTCCATTTATACATATTAACAATACCACCTCGACTCGTATATATTAAATTGCGGTTCTTCGCATGTATTGAAACAACATCACATTGACCCGGAATGCGTATATATGATACTTCTTTTATCATACAAGCATGCACAACATATAAACATTCTTTTGTTAAGATCATAAAGAATATTTTCATCAAGAGTTCGTTTGAATTTTCTTTATCATCAGGTAGAATAATTTGTTCAATGGGTTTAGGACCAATAGGTGGATCAAAAGTAATTGATGTTTTAATTATTTCTTTTTCAGATAAAAAGTCTTCTGTTTGATTTATGCAATTTAAATCAATATAAACAAAATCAATGGGAACAGTTGAATCAAATGTACAAATTAATTTGTCTTTATCAGCAGTAACTTTATCTAAACGTTTACCAGCATTAATTGTACCACGATGAATAAATATTGAATTCTTGAGCATATAAAATAGAATAGTACCATCATGTAGAACAATACTAAGCAATATTGAACTTAATTTAGAATATACAACTGTTTTAATCGACGCTGTTGATGATAAATCAATTTTAGAAAATAATTTATTTTCTCCTACACTCCAACATTCAACAGAATTCGAATTTGGCTCGACAAGAATGCATAAACCACGTCTATTGCTAATAATTTCGCAAACTGAATATCCTTTAATTGATGTCCGATGAAATTTAATATCACCCTGACTTGATACAAGATAAATATTATGAAATGAATTAACGAAAAAAACGTATTGTTTAAAGTGTTCTTCACCATCAATTGAGCTATTATCTGAATCATCAGAATCATTGTCATCATCAACAGTATTCTTGTTCTTTGAATGACGTACAATCATTTTTGGTAATGTGGTCGAATTTAAATAAGGCTCAGTTAATTTTGGTAATTTAATATCTAACGCTGTGTTACCTGTTTGCATATTAATAAGAATTATTTTATTTGATAATGATATAGCTGCCATTTGATTATTTGTAAAATCAAGATCAATAACTGGCATTGTATGTTTATTCATTGTATAGAGTAAACCATTGCCCGGTGGTTGTATTTGACAATAAGGTACAATAAGTGCACAATGACGTGGACTTAGTTCATCACATTGTCTTAATAGATTTGTTAGATTATGTTTTAAACCATATAGTAATAGTAAACGAGATGTTAACTCAAATGCAAAATTATCTGGATATTCACGAAGCAAGAGACCAAATAATAGATATGTCATTTTAAGAATTGAAAGTTCTTTTTGAGCTAATTTAACTTCGTCGGATGATTTATATGATGATGAACTTTCAAATTGATCAATATCATTTTGAATATCAATAAATTGTGAACAACTAAATTTAGCATCTAAACCGTAAAGAAATTATTTTAGTTTGATTTTTTTCATTTTTATTAATATAGTAAACTTACGCATAAATGAATAATTAAAAAACATTTCGTCAGCTGCAATCGGTATTGCTATATCAGGCGCTAGTTTACTTAAAAAGAGAGGTAGTTCATTTAATTTCCGTTTATTATACTGTATTCGACCGTCGACATCAATAAATTCAACAGGCTGTGATGTTGTAAAACGATTGGCTTGAATTTCACCGGTTGACTTATCTAATTTGTATTTGTCAACTAATTTAGGATCATCAATTTTAAATGGTTTGTTTTTTCCTTTCCATGTTTCTTTAAATAAATCAACAACATTTTGAAAAACTATTTTTCGATCTGTTTCATTTAAATTTGATATATACAATTCTCGTGCGACTTCAATAAATCGACGATGATACCTATAGAAGAGAAATTGTTGAACGAAACATTGCTATTCTTGCAACAACAAAAAAATAAACTAATCATTTATGATGACAATTAAAGTAGAAGTGTCTATTTCTTGACATATTTCAAAAATCAAAACTTTAACCTATAAACTTTTAAGAATGACTTAGTAATACGCACGAATTGAACTAAGACGAGTAGGTACAACGAAATGAAATTGAATCACAAGAGAAAGTTCTATTATATTAAGATGTAAGCCTATCAATTGATCATTCATTCATTGTTGAATCGAGAAATCTAACTGTATAATTGTTTTTATGCCAATTCTTGACTCGAATTTTTGCAGTCAAGAAGTTTACTTTCGCAAGGTTTAAAGGAATTCAGCCCAACTTATAAGCAAAACAAAACTGAAAGAAATAATGATTGGATTGAAAAATCAATTTGCATAAAATTTTGCATGTATACTCATAATAAAGTATGCTTTTGAAACATGTAGCAAGTTGAAATATTTATAGTAACTCACAGGGATTAATTATGAACGACGATAAAGAAAATATGTTGTTGCCAATACCCGCTCATATACTTATGAGATGGGTTTGTTTTCAATCTTTCTCAACTGTTCTAAATTTGCAATAAAACTCATACGAAATGTATTCATATCACCTTTTCGATATCATTCATCATGACACATAGCGTACTATTCATTGCACGCAAGATCATCGTACATAGAGGTGTCAGCCGAAGGGTTGAACGGCGGCGGCGAGCAACAATTTTCAATTTTTAAAGATTTCCAGCGGCCCCTTCTTTAAATGAGTAATGTCTTCAGCGGCGGCTGCTATAAACTCTTAAAATTTTTTCCACATCGGTGGCGCCGGCTGATATTTTTAAGTCCTTTTGTGACGGCGGCGGCCGAGTTAAAAATTCACTGATGAAAATTAAAAGAAAAATGTTCGATTCCATCGCATATGCATTGATGTCAGCGGCGGCGGATGGCGCTATCAAAAATTTGTATCTCTTGCAGCGGCGGCTCTCCAAAATTCTTAAAATTACCAGCAATTTGGTGGCTGATATTATAGAAAAATCGGCTGCTGCGACGGTTCAGCCGCACGGCTGACACCTCTCATCGTAAACATTTGCTCTTTCTCAGAAGCTAATCATTTATCCACATAAAAAAATTGTATATCTTTCGCAAAGAAAAGGCTTCCTGGTAATAAGACTTGAAAAAATCCATACCAATAAATAACCGGTGCATCATCGACTTCTTTTTCTGTAATATATTCATCTAAATCATTTCGAATTCTTGTCCATAGAATGCCTGGTAAACGTCGAACAGGTGGTATATAATGTTGAAAAACACTTTTAAGTACATCATCATCAAGTGAAAGAACATCTTCGAGTTCATTTTGACTAATACCACTTCGACATGCTGTCATATAACATAGTGCTCTACTAAATAAAACGGTGTTATGTACAATTTCTAAGTGTTTAAATAAATAACGTATGCAATCATCAACATCGTTTAATTGATTTAAACTTTCATCGATTTTATCATATGAATGCCAATAAGATATTATGTCAAACATTAGTTTCATAAATAGCGGAAGGATTTCATGCTTTTTATTCATTAAATTATGTATAAATAAACGTTGTTCAGTGCTCAATGAACGATGTTTCACTGCAAGCCAGTCATTGTAAACAATTTCAACTGTTGACGGTTCGAATGGAGGAACATGAACGAACAAATTTTTATTTTCATTTTCATTTAAAATAGCCTTTAAATTTTCTAGAATATTGCCATGATCAGGTAGTGTTGACAGAATACATTTTATGTTTGATGCAAAGCTCACTGGTAACCATTTACAATCATATGCATCACTGTGCAATTGATCGATTGAATCAAGGAGTATAAGAAGATATTCGTTATCAGGTATTTGAGGAAAAAGCGTAAGTTCAAGTTGATCACGAACTTGACTTACAGTTGGATATGCTGTCATTGGAATATTATATAATTCAGAGATTTGCTCAGATATAGAAAGTAATGTTTTATATATAGTTGAAGAAACCGGTGTCGTTCTAGATCAATCAAAGAATGTCAATTCAGTTATTAATTCAATAGTTGACCTACCCGAGAAAACGTAAAATAACGGAAACAGATCGATCAGGCCACCATTTAAACACCTAGAATTAAAATTTTGATAATTTTAGATTTTTATCAAAATTAAGGTTCACTGACTTCTGTTGCTGTTTTAGCTAGTACACTTGTTTTTCCACAACCCGATTCACCATATACAACGCATGGTCGATATTCTTTATTATTTTTCACAAATTTTTCTAACTAAAAATATATATTGAATTTTATTATTTTCCTTTTTTTTTGAATTCAACATTTCTTATCGTACTTCAGATAAAACATCAGTTCTTCCATGAAATTTAGTAACATATGTTTTACATTGTATAGCATGTTCTAATACTTCATGTTGTAAACTATCTGAACCAATTGTATGACGTGATTGAACACATCGATCGATTTGTTCTTTCATTGCTAGAAAAAAGTCATTATTGAATTGTTCGATGTATTCACAATGATCTTCACGATTAATTCCATTTGATGACCAATGAACTTTATATGTAAATATGTTTTTAGGCTTTAACGCAGCTGGAATACGATTAGTTTTTAATCGATTAAGTAATTTGTCTGCTTCTTGATCAATAACTGATTGTGATGACATATCAATATATTTTAGTGCCTTGCTATCTGATAAATGATCACGAATATCAACAATGTCACGAAAAAAACATAAAGTACGTTCATTAGCATCTTTTGCTGATAGAATACCATTGATAATTTCCTTTTCCGTAACTAAGAATTAGTATAGATAAATAAATAAATAAATAAATAAATAAATAAATAAATAAATAAATAAATAAATAAATAAATAAATAAATAAATAAATAAATAAATAAATAAATAAATAAATAAATAAATAAATAAATAAAAATCTGACCTGATATAAAAAATTCATCATAATCACTTTCCGTTATCTGTCCTCGTTCCAGACATTTTTCGGCTGCTTGTCGAAGACATAGTCTTAAACGATTATTTATAACTCTCCATTCTTTATCTGCTTTTTTTATTTCATCTATATCCTATGAAAAATTCAAACAAGGTTCATTTTTAGTAAAAACATAGTTTTCCTTTTCACCTTTGATATAAAATATGGTATAACCGATGAAATGTTTTGTAAGATATACGCAGGTGGTACACAATTAGTATCGAGCTGATACCATTGCTGTAGTAATTCAGCATCGTTATTTTCATTTTGTTCATTAGTAACAATTTCTTTTAACAAATCAAATAGTGATGCAAGAATTGTGGCTGGTATTGGTCGTGAACCATAACGATGACCAAGTAAAACCTAATTGAAATATATTCATACATGTTTCATACGGTTTTTAAACCAAAACAAACCACAAAATTTGTAGCAACGGAATACTTTTTACAAAGTTCAATTTCTTTTAAACATGTTCCAACTTGTCCATGATTATTAGCTGTTTCTGTTTCGATGCCCCATCGCATATCAGCATACTAATACAAAGATTTCGGTGTTATTTTTTGTAACTAATTCAGATCATGATGACAAACCTGAAATTCTAATCCATATTTTTCACGGCAATAATCTTTAAGTTTAGGAAATATATTTTCTATCAAAGAATCTCGTTCAGTTAATGTGTCTAAAAATGATTTGTTTTTTGTTGCTATAAAGTCAGTTTCGTTTGTCTAAATAATCTTTCACCTGTAAATGTTGAACTAACAAAAATGCGGACAATTTTCGAGCGAACATCTGGTAATTGTTGAGATCTTCCTCTTAAAATATCTAGATAATACGATGATTTCATATTCTAAAATACAAGTCTAGATTATGTTCTGAGATAAAAATGTACAAGGCTAAAGAAAATCGTGTTAAGTACAAACATCTTACTACTTGTATACAAGTATTCATGTAATTCTCATATTACAACAATTCACTTACCATCAATGATGTATTATAACTAATAATATAGATATTCATAGATGAATATCCATCGATTACGTAGTTTTTTAGAATAACTAGCGAGTTTCACACTCGATTGTTAGAACTTTTACCAGTCACTATAGAAGTGTTATTAGAAAGTTCCTATGTTAAATCTTTCAAAGCTATTGAATGCGAGTCATCAACAAACGTGCTTTGCTAATTCTTAAAAGGTTTCATGTCTGTGCAATAGGAAAATCTCTATCATATTACTTTCGATAATGGTTTTCTTTTTTGCAATATTCATACTATAATAAAGACCTTCGAGACGCCACAATGACAATCATTACATCGTCACTGATCAAGTCTACGATTTCAAAGTAGATTCAATTCATTTTTGTTCTTATGTTTAATTTTCTTTTTCAAATATAGATAGGGTATATATATATATATGTAACAGCTTATTAAACATCTAACACAAACAATTCGAAATAAGAATGTGTTACATGAATTTCTGCAACTGATTTACTTTTATCCGACAATTTTCAAGAATCAAAAGATTTTGCCGGCCAGAAATTTTTAGAGATCATAATTCGATCGATAACGCCACAAGAAGGTAGCATGGGTCATGTCATATCAATATAACAGATAGTAATTCGAATCTCGAACCCATTGAAAGTGTCCTTCTCCTAATTTTTCACTCCACTGCGAGAGAGCAAATGACTTTTTTTACTCTACTGAAAGCGCTAGAACAGACAGCATCTGAATAGTAACTAACTCACTGGTGTAACCAATGATCATTCAGCAGTGTCCAAGAACTGAGAAATAGGAATTCCCAATGTGCCGAGGAATTGTCAGTATCGCTGTGATAATTCCTAGAGGAAATGCGATTCAACTATCGGCTCCCTCACAGTTCCACCATTCACGAAAGTCGTGACATTGCTGTTTAAAGAATCATTTTTGCATGACATCATTGATTCTCACAATTTTGCAAGTGAAAATGAGTGTAAGAACAAAAATGATCGTGAATATTCCATATTTTTACCTTTACTATGCAAGGAACTGTAGGGGAACTGATGAGGAATTCCTAATCCTCAGTCCTTGGACACCCCTCTGATCCTTGAGAAATCTATTACGAGAAAAATATTATGCTTACATCTTATGTCACAGCGGAATAAATCGGCATAAAGAGAAAAGCGCATCAACTGCAAACATAAACACAATCTTGAAGTCTTGTTACTATAGTAACTCCACCTTTTAGCTGAATGAATTGATTCGTTTAAGTGAATAACCAATCAAATTTGAACAGAACAGATGTTAGACGTCCATTCATTTTTCATTTTTCATTTCACTTTGATTCAATGATGTTGCTGTCTTCGTATATCACTAGCGTCCTTATCATCACTGTCTTTGCGACAATTTCTAGTGGAAATATTGAACATACGGTATTACGTGGCGTACCATCATCATGTAAATATTATTTTTTAGACTTGTTCTCTACATTAAATGTCTTTGAAAATTTAGTGCAATCAAAGTACGCTCAGTTGAAATCATTTGCTTGTCTTGATGGTTCATCGACAATTCCATTCGAATATGTGAATGATGATTATTGTGACTGTCGAGGTAATGATATCAATGATAATTTGTTTTGTGTTATTGAACGTTATTTTTTTTCTATTTCGTTTTAGATGGTAGTGATGAGCCAGGTACTTCAGCTTGTCCAAATGGTCGATTCTTTTGCGAAAATAAAGGATATATTGGTACATCCATTCCTTCACATTTAGTTGGAGATGGTATATGTGGTATGTATTTCATTAAATAAGTTCAACCTCTCACTTTATAATTTCTAGTCCATTTTTAAAAATTTCTTCTAGTGAAAGTAGAAAATTATAAAAGAATTGCTAATAATAAAATTTTCTTTCTTATTTGTCCTAAGAAACACAGCAAGTTCATTTTGATCATATAGTGATCGAAAGAATATTATTTCTGATTGAACGTGATTTTCCTTAAGAGGCAATGTGGCAAGTGTTGGACATATTTATTTCTAAATCGAGCTATTTACTATATTTTGAAGGCATTGGTAGTAGTGGAGAGAAGATTAGTAGCTCCTTCCGTCAATATTAGCGCTTGAATAGACGTTATATTATCTTGAAATGTTTTTCAGCACTGAGCGGTTGTTTTCTCAATGGTAGTAATTCAATTATTATTGTCATTTTTTTATCAATATAGATTGTTGTGATGGCTCCGATGAATATGAAACAAGCGTTGTTTGTAATAATACATGTTTGTAAGTAATTTAACTACTCAGAACATAATAATAGCATCAAAGTTTTTTTTTTGATTTGAAGTGAATTAGCTCAAAAAAGTAGAGCTGAACATGAAGCCAGACGAATATTACATGAAGTTGGAGTAGCCAAAAAGAAAGATATTATGGTTAAATCTATAGTTGCTGTATCAGCTCGAAAAGTAATTTCAGATATCTTAGGTCTAGTTCAATAAAAAAAAACAATGTGCTACTTTAGGCACGTCTCCTTGAACTTGAACAAGAATTACAAACAATTGACAATGAATTAAAAGAAAAAGAAGGTAAATGGTTTAAAATAAAAACGATGTATTGATTTATTCTTCTCTATAGCATTAAAACAGTTAGCTGAAGCTCCAGAGAGTGAAGCTAAAGAAAAACATCAAAAACTATGGGAAGGTATGTTCCCGATACATATATAATTAATTTTCTTATCATCATTTTCTTAATTAGAACAACGTGCAATCCGTGAAGCTATCGCACACGATAACCAAATGCGAGAAATGTTTGCCGATATAGATACTAATAATGATTCCTTGTAAATATTTTCATCTTGAAAAAAAAAATAACCAATCGATATGATATTTTTTTTATAGAGTTTCAATTGAAGAATTACAAAAACATACAGAACTTGATACTGACCAAGAAAATGAATTTACAGTTGAAGAAGTTCGCGTATGTGATCGATTTCCGTGATTTTTGTTTGCTATTGTTTCTTTTTTTTATTTATCTAAGTCAATTCTTGGCGCTGATTCTGTTAATTTGGATGAATTTAATGTAACTGTATTTGAGCAAATATCGAATTCTTATCAAAAATTACCACAACCATCAACTGAAGCTGCAACTCATCTCGAGGAGGTCACTGAAAAAATAGACGAAGCTCTCAAACAAGAAGAAGAAAAAAAAACAACAACAACATCTGGTACGGAAGGTTATTATGAAGAAGATACCAATCACCACCATGACGATGACTCAGATCATCATCATCATGATGAAGACGCGGATCATCATCATGATGAAGACGCGGATCATCATCACCATGAGGAGACAATAACAACTGTTGCTACAGTAAGAAAAATTTAATAGAAAGTAATTGCTTATTCAACATTTTATATTTTTAGTCACTTGACCATGGAAAACATATTCATGATGATACGGTGCCACAATACGATGATGAAACAAAGAAATTAATGGAAATAGCTGATCATGCTCGTAATGAATATAATGAAGTTGAAAGAAAAGTTCACGATGTTAAACGACAGATTGAGTTTGTTTTTCTAATCATTTTCTTGTCTCTTAATCGATTTTATGCTACGTTTTTTGTGTAGAGATTTAAGAAAACAAGCCGATGTTGATGTTGGATCTCATGGCGAATATTCAGCATTTATGGATCAGTGTTTTGATTATGATGAACGTGAATATACATATCGAGTATGTATGTTTAAAGATGCGAAGCAAATTTCGAAAGGTGGCGGTAGCGATGTAACAATTGGTTATTGGGATGCATGGACTGGACCTTCAGATAATAAATATTTAAAAATGAAATATGCAAATGGTGCAACCTGTTGGAATGGTCCAGCTCGATCATTAACAATTACATTCCAATGTGGCGTTGACCATAAAATTATCGATGTCAGAGAACCGACTCGATGTGAATATTCTATGTTATTTGAAACACCATCAGCGTGTGATGAAAAAATTGCCACAACCATAATACATCCCAATCATGAGGAATTTTAATAGAATGTCCTATTTGTCGAACTGCTGCCAGTTTTTCTTTGTTTTTCGTAGTTAGAGTCTGCTTTTTCTTGTTGTTATGATTGTCGGTGAAAAAAAATATATGTTATTGGCTTACGATTGTTATTCAGCTCATCTCATTTTTATATGTAAAGCCACATTCTTTTCTTTTTTTAAATAAAAACCCCAAAAAGTGTAAAGTAATTATAAATTGGGCACTTATGAGAGTGCATTGAATTCGACGAGAATATCATATTATTCATATAGTTAAAATACACTAGAGTTCTTTGTTTTTTACTCAGACAAACAATTTTAATACAATTGCAGCAATCGGAAAATAAATGGCAAATAATACTTACAATCTGTGAGATAAAAATGTGAAACATTATATAGCTCCCGTTGCTTATCATTGGTATTTTTTAAATATCCTAACAAGGCTATTCATTGTGTATTAAATATTTGTCTCAAATCTGATTGCAGAAAATTACAAGACACTTGCTCATTTTGTTAAAAAAAGCATCGCAGAAGTCAATTCTAATGTGTCCGATTCTATTCAAATAAGCTAATCGCATGATTCATATTCAAGTTGAATACCATGAAAATATGGCACTTAGTGAGTAATAGCCGTTTGTTTTGTTTTAATGGTAATGAATTTCATACTATATTTTCTGATAAGATTTCCTTCATAAATTATCTATATCTATGCCTATAATTACTAATTGGGTTCTATAAACTTGTTCTAGATTCAAAAGTTACCAGTTGTATTCGAAACAAGAGTGCGAAGGCGACTATCTTAATATCTAAACCAATTTATTACAAACGTAAAAATGCATAATGAGACTGAATTATCTTCATAAATATTCAACAATATGAATCATATCCCTTTTAATCCTAATGATCAAAGAATATTACGAAAGAAATTTCGATAAATACATCAAAACAATTTGATTCTTTTTAATAGATTTCTGCTATATAGAAGATTTTTCATTTTGAAATTCAAAAATATATTTAAATCAATATCATCACCATTTATTGTTCGATATGAACTATAAAATACTCTATGTAATCATGCTTGTTCATGAAAATAAGTTTTTAATGATAAAAACTTATTTCTTTCGGTAAAACGATTCTTTAGATTGTAAATGTTCACTTCCTGATAATGGCGACAGATTAAATGATACGGCTGCTCGATATTTTTCAAAGTCAGCTTTGGCTAAAAAGTGAATTTGATTTTCGACACGATAGTTGAAATTATTTTCGATGTAAGTTACTTACAGAGATTCTGAGGCACATTAATATAATTTTGTGCAGAAACAGACTCTTGATATGTTTGATTTGATGGCTTTTTAAGTATGGATGTTGTTTGTTGATGATTATTTTGCATCTTTGTACTGTCTAATGATAGTAAATTTGGTTGATTGCTGATACTTGATGGAGGCAAACGAAATGCTTTAGTGTTATTTGAGTTAACATCTGAGAATAATGGAGTGCGAAGAGCCTATCAATAGAATCAGTTTTAAATATATGAAATATGTAGATAAAAACATTCAAACTTTTTGTTCTCGTTTTTCATTGGAATGAGTTCTAGCTGATAATTCATTGGTTTGATCTAGGTCAAGATCATTTTCTAAACCAAGAGATTGAAAAGTAGGTGGAGCTGCTGAATTTACATCGGTTTCTTCAGTACCATCATTGAAATTTTTAATATAAAATGATATAGATGGTTTCGGAAAAGGAGTTCGTTTAAGAAGAGTGTCCATTTGAAACATAGTCGCTTTTGTATGATTGCCGACCTATGATTTTAGATTACATAAATAATAGGTAAACATGTAAATCTCGTTTTCTTACTAAAGGCTGTGTTTCTTTTTGATCTAAATAGAATTTAAACAGAGATATGTCCGAATGAATTGATTGAGATCGTTCTAAAATAAGATTGTCTTCCACAGGCTGACATACAGCTGTTGCACGCAATGTGTAGCTTGGTACTGGTATAATATGTTTAAGAGCTGACTTTTGTCTTTCATTAATATTGGATTCGGTCCATTTTGATACAAATCTGTTTGGTTTTGGAACTTGTTGAGTTCCATTAGAGAAACTTTTCTCTTTTCTTTGCCTCTCTGGTTCAAACTTATTTCCTCGGTTAGCAGATGATAAATTTATCGGTTTTGAATTTTCAAGCGCCAATGCAGAAGGATTTCTTGGCGCTCTAGATAAAGATACGGTTCGCTTGGGAATAACTAAAAGAGAAATTTTCTTTGGTTTCATAACTATATAAAATTCTATATATATATATATATATATAATACAAACCTTCAGTAGGAAGAGGAGCTTGGGATACAACAGGGCTTTTACGGATGATGGAAGCATTATTGGCAATACGAGCACCAGAATGAATACTAGCAGGAGGAGTGGTAGACTTAACAAGATTAATAAAAATAGAATCGACTGGAGGAGTCGTCGGACTATTAATTGTAGGGAAAACGGTAGACACATCAGGACTAACTGTTAAGTTAAGATTCGAAGATTTATCGAAAGTATCATTGGTAGAGGAAGTAGGAGAAATAGTTGGAATCGTCGGTTTTGGAGACACCACTGAAACGGTTGGTTTTGGAGGCACAACTGAAACTGTTGGCTTTGGAGACACAACTGAAACTGTTGGTTTTGGAGGCACCACTGAAACTGTTGGTTTTTGAGAAATAAATGGAATTCCAGAATTTGGATTAGCTACAGCAAACGTATTGGTGGTAGTAATATTAAAAGTCTTCGACGGTATAGGAACGACAGCAGTTGAAGACTCAGAAGGAATAGGATGGTTTGGTGATTTAATTTGAATAGCAGCATTAACAGGAGTTTTTACAGAGGCAGATTCGTGAGGAGCAACAGTAACAGAAGTTTCAGGAGCAGCCGGAGTAACAGTCTTGTTGCCCATCAAGATTTTTTTAAAGCAATTCTAGCTTGTTGCATTGTTATGAATTCATTATTGTTTTTCGATGGTTTCACCTTGTATTAGAATTTTCAAGTGTAAGACAAAGAAAAATCAATAAAATAGTAGTTTATTCGATAGATTTAGAAGTAGAAGTTTATAAAACAAAAGATTTCGTTAAGTTTTAGGGAAAGTACATTTAATTCGACCTAATTGTATAATTTACTTTTTTTTCTTCAAGTCAAATAGTGATATCTATCATTGCCATGTTGCAATTATTCCATATTGGTTATAAGTTATCCAATCAGATGGAAGAGCGACTTTATTATTATTTATTTTCAAACGATAGAAAGCAACCAGCCGCGATTACGTGTCTGTTAGTTCTTTGCTGTTGAGTCAGTTTTTTACTTGTTTTTTTTTTTCTTTTCAAATACACCATGATCTGTTATAGATTGGGCCCATAAAGATATTCTTGAAACCCGTCGCTTGGTTTAAGCCGATTTATTTATATTGTTTTTTTTCGCTTCGTTTCTCCTTATTTGTATACTATTATCTATTTTACAATGTGCTTATTTATTCACACGGACTAATTATATTATTTGTATAACAAAATGGAAGCAAATAAAGATGCATCTTTACATTATCTTGAACTCGCTGAAAAAGCTATTCATGATAATGACTATGAACGAGCTATTCGTTACCTCAATAAATCCATAGACCTTTTCCCAACACATAAAGCCAAAGGTATATTTTTTATTTTTCTTAAATATTTTCTTATCATTTATTTCATTTCCCTATTCAAGATCTTCTTGAAAGAATGAAGAATTCTACCTCTCATTCAGCAAACAATGATAAAACTCATGAATCAACTTCATCGTCGAACAATGATCATTCGACAACAAATGGCAATTCATCGCACGCAAGGCATAAAACAACCTCAACATCAAACAATGAGTATTCTGCTGAGGAAGTAGAAGCTGTTCGAAAGTATGTGAATATATGATTTGTTAGAAATTTCGAGAAAAAAAACTAGCTTACGAGTTTATCCGGAAGAAAGAAATCTACGCTGGAAGACGAAGATAAAACAATCTTAAATGCCATTTGTTGGCAGCTAACATATGTCTAGATGAACTATGTTTAAAAAAACATATTTTCAAATTAGATCAAGTTTAATTGCATGACCTATTTCATTCAATTTTAAAGGGCATCATAAAGCTATTACGAAACCAGATAATCTTCATCTCAGTGTTGAATCACCATTGCTGATACAGCTAGCAGCAACTTAAAAGTCATTTTCTATCCTGAAACATTGTCTTACACGGACCACATTCTTGCTTATGCTTTAATAGTCGACTAGGTTCAACGGTGTTGCCACCAGAAATGCTTTGGATCGTATGCTCGAATAGAAAAGGATGTTTTTGTTTTTTTGTTCTCGATTAAAAATGAAATCCTAAAGCACTTTGTTACTATTGACTTTTTTGAAAAGCATTTATGAGAAAATAATAAATCGAATCCGATTTGAGAAATCGCTTTCAATAAAATGTTTTAATCTTTGAAGTAATACTAGATTTTTTTGACTCGATCATATGCAAAATTCTATAATTTAGAAAAAACTAACTTCGTTCTTATATTTGCATCTCTGAATAGAAGATACTAGTAACTAGGATTTATCACCATGAAACAAGAAATATGAGAATCGTATGTACTATGGCAGCGTCTGTCCTTTAACATTAAGTTAGATCGCCGACATATTGGTGGCAATCGTAACATATGCCAGTTGATTATACTCTGGAAAAAAAATCTACATAACTTCTTTCGATATTTTGTAGAGTGGTTCTCTGGCAGAAAGAGTAGGTATACATTTTTTTCATATTTAAATAGAGCCTACCTTATTGGATCTCACGTCTGTCAAAAGCGATTTATCAGTTCATAAGGTTTTCTCGTTAGTGTGCAACAGCTAGCAGCCACATAGAATAAGCAAGAAATGTTTAAATAAAAGGACATGATATTTGAACGCTAGATAATATATGATAAACTTATTTATCACTCGATTCGATTGAAATATTATTGATTCTTATTTTTAATATTAGAATCAAAACATGCAAAGATTTATATGAAATTTTGGGTGTTAGTAAAACAGCATCTGAAGCCGATTTAAAGAAAGCTTACAGAAAATTAGCTCTACAAGTAAGCATAGATATTCATCTATTTTTCATTTGTTAATTTTTCTCTTATTTAGTTTCATCCGGACAAATGTAAAGCGCCAGGCGCTACTGATGCCTTCAAAGGTCTTCTATTGCTCGTAGAAAATAAATCTGTTTTGCTTGACACAGATTTTTCTTTTTTTTTATAGCCATTGGTAAAGCCTTTTCAATATTAAATGATCCAAAAAAGAAGGAACAATATGATCAATATGGCCATGCAATGGAACCACAATATAATCGTAGAAGTTCCGGCGGTAGACAACAATATTACTATGCAGATGAAGATGATGATTTTTCAGCAGAAGAAATATTTAATCTTTTCTTTGGTTATCCTGGTATGATTTATGTCGTATATCAACAGACAAACAAGAAAATTTTCTTATCATTTAGGTGCCGCAGCTCGTACATCTCGACGTCGTCAACATACTACTACGTATCATTTCACAACTCATTCAACCCAAAATGTTTGTTTTTACTGTTTTTTCAATTCGATTAATTCCTTGTCTTTGCGTTTTATTTTTTTTAGTCTACAAATACACTAGTGCAGTTATTACCGTACTTCTTTTTATTTCTTATTTCAATAATTGGAACACTACTAGTAAGCGAACCTCAATTTCAATTGCATCGTACTGGGTATGTCGAAATTTTTTATTTTGGTTTGTATTTTTAAAATTTTCTATTTAGAAAATATAATAATTTACGTACGACGCGTACATCAAATATTGAATATTATGTTAAACCAGATTTTCATCCACCCAAAACAGATTCAGAATTGGATAGACTTGAATCATCAGTTATTGATGAATATATATCTGATATGCGACATCAATGTTATCGCGAACAGCAATATAAAGAATCGATGGTATGGCGAGCAAAAATGATGAGCGATAATAATCTCTATCGACAAGCTCAAAAACAGACAACGCCATCATGTACTAAATTAAATAATTTTCTCAACAGCTATGCCTAGTGTGTTTCGTTTTTTATTTTTCAATTGAATCAAAAGTTCACAGTGAACCCATTCCTTTTTTCTCTCTATTTGTTTATTGTTTCATACTATATTTTTTTTCGTTTTTGATTCTGTCAATTATGTGATGCAATCGTAACAAAAACAAACTAATCTTTGCTTGTTGGAAATAAATAGACGAGAAAATGACGCACATGTATATATATATATATATGAAAATCATAAACTGACATAGGACAGCAAAAATAGTTCAAAACGAAGCAAGCTCGAAATATTTATACAAGCTAAGTAAAGTATTCAATTGGTCTCAACATAGAATGAAGCATTAGTTTTGAAATTTTAAACAGCTTTTGCTAGTTCTTCAGGTAGCCCCCGTATTGAATAAAATATGTGACCAAATCTGTATTACTTGTAAGTGATAGAGAAATAAGCAAAATTAATATTTTTTTCTTCAATCCTTTTGGTTATGCGCAGAGACAAGGCGAACTTGTATGACTCTTGTGTGTTTTGACAATAATAAAACCAATTTCGTTTTTTTCTTGTTGCAAAGTAGATCAGGTGAATTGCCATAGATAATGAGTCGAAAAATTTACTCGTTTCTACCTAAACAGCTGGTTCAAACAAGCTCCAGATCATTCTTTTGTGAGTTGAGATTTTCAGTGCAGTTATCATATCTAGTATTGATTTGTTTTTTATTATCATATCTAGTATTGATTTGTTTTTTATTATCATATCTAGTATTGATTTGTTTTTTATTATCATAAATTTATCCACTATTTGTTGTAATAAATATTTTCTTAGTTGATTTATATTAGAACTTTTACTTTCATATGTATAAATTGAAAGTGATGCTTTTTCTTATCGAGAAAAAAAGTAATGAAACGCTACAAGCGTAGAAAAATGAACTATACATTTTATTGAGAGTAATAAATGCCCATATCATAAATCCTTTCCTTCACAGTGGAAGACTTCAATCTTTATGTTATATTCAAATGTAGAAAAGCTTTCTTTAGTTTGTTGAAATGCATTTTTCATCCTATTCTTTGGTGGATTTATTGTAAAATATAAATGGGTTGGACATACAAAAAAACAGGAATGAATATTTTATGTTGTTATTGTTGCCTTTTCTCCAAACATCTAATATACAGAAAAAATGTATTGTGCTCGAAAAACAGAAAATACGAAGGGGAGTGAAATCATTGTTATCCCCGAGACACACAAAAATAGCAGGATGCATGAAATGAAGGATACGGATTATGCAGGTCGAGAAAGTATATGGGAACAAAACAAAAGAGATGCGGTCAAAGACAAGATAAATCCTATATCTAGAGCACCGAGTGGTCTTTGCTATTCTAACAGAAAATGAATTATTTTGCATAGGACGCTTGTCCAGCAAGAAACATATACCGTTTGAATTCATCATAGAGAACGAGTACGAGTGACGAACCGACACTACGATAAATGTTAGATAAATTGCCCTTAAAGAAAGCCGTGAAACCTTCAGTAACGGCAATCTTTCGAGCACAATCCATTGTTCCTCTATAAATAATATCTCCACGACCACTTTGCATCATCAAACGACTAAATGAAAAACATTTCATGTTATTCTTTCATTTAAATTTTTAATAGAAAACATACCGTCGGATTGTATCAAGTGGATAAGCAAGAAATTCAGATGACGATGTAACAAATTGTGCGAAAAGAAAACGATACAATATGCTGGGATTTGGATTATCTCCGAACATGAATCTTTTTCCTGCATCGTATCCACCAAAATAAAATGCACGATAGACAAATATACCAGCAACACTAATAGAAAAACCTCGATAGAGACCTATAAATATATTCAATTTTATATATGAATTTTAGGACTCTATTATGAAGAAAAAAATTTGACCTTGAATTCCATCAGTTTTATAAATTTTTGCAATACAATCATTCATGCCTTTAAATTGCCGCTCACTAACGGATTTTCCAATATCAACACCAAGACGTGTACGAGCAAAATCAAGTGGATAGACAAAGAAAAGACCCGTTGCACCAGCCATACCACCAGCAAATAAATTACCAGCAAAGAATTTATATGGATTAATAACTGGATCATAGTTGGCAAACATTTGTTGATAACGTTCTTTGAAAGCAAAATTCAATGCTTGCTAAACAATAAAATAGATTGAACATTACATGTTTTCAAATGATAGAAATTGACTGATTTACCGTTGGAAAATAACGTAAAACATTGGCCCAATTTCCACGCCACAATGATATAGTTCCTTCTTCTCGTATACATCGAACTAAACAATCACCGAATCCTTTATACTTTTTTGATTGTGAAATCTTTTGATTAACATCTTGCGTTTGTAGAAGAAGTTTAACACGTTCGAGTGGAGCAACAGCTGTTTTTGAAATAGCTCCCTATAAGAATTATCATGTTAACAAAAGATTTATTAAAATACTAGTATACATACAGCTAAAAAAAATAAAAATAAAGATCGAGTTAGAAAATATCTAATTTATATAATAAGGAGAAAAACAAACCAGTTCCGCCAGCAAGAAAGTCTATTAAGACGTCTTTCGTTGTGGTCTCTCGTTTTGATGATCCGCTTGGGCCAACCATATCGATCTAAAATATATAGAAATATTTTGTCCTTGTAACAAATTTTCTTATTCTAATGTTGCGCCAGTCGGCAACGACAACAAACTCACTGATTGAATCCGATACTCCTTGAAAAACACAAAAACAATTTTATGGCAATAACCAATTAGATGGAGTTGTATTGTAAACAAACGACAGAGATCGCTACTTCCCTGCATTAAAATATTCGCCTTAAAAAGCAATATACATCTTACTATAGCTCTTGTACAAATTTTCTACTCCAAGAATGAAGCACATATTTCTCAACGTCGAAGTACGATATTTAGAGATAATTTCAAGTTAGTTCTACAGACACATTAATGCAATATCGACTGATTGCCAATAAAATATTATGGTGTGTCAATAGTCTTTCGTTAAAAACGATGGTTTACAACAATCGATCGGTTTGACAATGTAAAAATGATTTTCTGATTAGATAGGCGAAAAAAGATCCGAGAACAATTTTGCAGTGAATACCGAATAGTTACAAGAAATAATCATTCGTATCCTGTAAAGTTTATTAAATTAGACGTACAGGAAAATAATTATGCATTATCGATTGAATGTCGCCATTAACACTATTATTACTCAAAGATAAAGAAGATATTTTGTAGAATATCTGCTGCAAATAGATTTAGTGTTAAAAACTTATTAAGTTTTCGCATATCTTGTGGATTTGTTTAATAGTTCGAGTAACTCCCTTCATGCATACTCTATGTATTTCATCATTTTATTAGCGACTAAGAATAACTAATATTGATTATTGAAGGTTGCTAACTTAATAGCGATCACAAATCTGTTTTTTTAATTGAAGTGAAAACTGATTTTTGAATTGTAAATTTAAAAAATATTGAAGAGATGCTTCGCACAATGAAGACACTTTTACAATCTAATATTATGGAAAAATACAAGAAGAAAAATTACAAATCATCTCTGATAAATTCAATAGAGCAATAGCAACGATCGATATCGTATTGGTCCTGCTCGTAATACATTATTGTGTGCATTGAGTTTACTTGTGAAGTTTCAATGTTATAAGATCTTACACGAAAGATGGAATGTATCAATAGATAACATAGTGCAATTGGTAATTGCATATAAGCTATTGCATCAAAGCGATAAAGATAGTAGAAGAAAAACTCAGTCACAGTTAATCAAATCCATATGTGCAGAGAGAAAGAAAACATAAATACATAGAAAGTACGTTTTATCCACGTGCTATAACGAAATGCTTAAAATAATGGTTGCTATGAGTAGTTTTTAGGACTCAAAATTTTTAATTCTACGTCAAGAAAAAAGCATCTTATAGAGAGTTATTTTCTATTGCCGATTTATATTTCTCGTGTTACACCCTCACCCTCAAGATGAACTAAAATCATTTTTTCCCAGTGTGATACAAATCTCGATGTAGAACATTTCAGCATGAGACTAAAATTCACGAAAAGGTGTCCGGTTTAGTCGCTATGAAACGAAAAAAAATCCGCTAAATTTTAGCATCAAACTGTAATCATAGAGTTCTAGGGTTTCATTTCTTTTTTCATTTTAGCTATTTAAAAAAACCATTATGAAAGCTAGTGATTAGCACATTTCACTTGCTTTATACGGTTTATAAATTCTATTTTCATCAATTTCCTTGTAAAAGTAGAACAAAATGAATGGAATAATTTGTTTTATTGTTTACTTAGTTTTGTATGGCATGTCTTGGGTTTTTACTCATTCAACGGATGTCAGCGAAAAATATGAGTCACGTTTATCTGTTTCTCCGCTTATATGAGAGAACGAGAAAAACCCAATCATAAAATGTCTCTAAGACATGTTGGAAAAAATTTCAACCACAGCTATATAAAAAGCTTGGGAAATTCCAAGATAAAAAATGAACTTTAGTGCATATATAAAGAGCGTGTGTTTCATATAGTTGTACTGTATTCAGTTGTTATAGTAGTGTATAGACGTTATTGTTTCATAGATAAGCATTTTCAGGTACTGATTCGAACCGTAATATTACTGCTTAATATTAATAAGAAACTGCTATTTTACTTTCAAAATCAATCGAAAATATGTCTGGTATTATTAACGTGCTTTTTGCGACCATGAAAGGCAGCAAACATCCCGCACAACTTAAAGAAGGCTATACTTTTGAAGACATTAAAAACATTGTTAAAGAAAAATTTGGCTCTACTAACTATCGACTTATTGTCAATGGACAAGAAATACAAGACAATGATCCAGTTAAATTTGCTGAATTAAAAAAATCGATTAAAAATCTTACAGTCATATATGTTTGTCAACGAATGGATGGTGGCTCAGGTCTACTTGATATTGATTCACATAAGGCCACTCTAATTGTTGATATTCAAGACGAGCTACGTAAAATTCCAACTCAACAAACAAATTCGACATGCATGATTTGCACAGAAGAAAAAAGGTGCATTAAATTTTGTTGCAGTTCCATTATCTGCAAAGAATGTTTTCCTAATTATTTCATATATGGTGATTTTAAAATTAAATGTCTTACATGCAATCAACTTGTATCGCCAGCAAAAGTTTTTGTTACTCCTGAATTTATTCAATCACTCGTTCAGTTAGATGAAACAAAAACGATGACACAAAATATTGATTTTCAAATATGTACATGTGGTGCATTTTCTATCAATAGTACTATGCATGCAAAACAACGGTGTAACAATTGCCAACGATGGCTATGTTTCTTTTGCAATTCCGATTGGGATGAAACGGAAAGAAACATGCGTAATGAAAAGTACACATGCAAAGTAAATTGCTTTTGGGAAACCAAAATTACTTATCAATTAGTCACACTTGAATACAATAAAATTATGAAAGTGCCAAATCGACGGTGTTGTCCAAAATGTCTCGAATGTGGTTCGTATGATCAAAAGTGCAAATATCACAGTTGCAAATGTGGTCATAAATTCTGTTTTATCTGCCTCAACACAGAAGAAGAATGTAAGCGTATTTATAAATCTAGTTATAACCGGCCATGTGGCAATATAGCACAACAAACATTTAAAATATTTCCGCGCCTTTGCCAATAAAAACAACTTGTTCTATGTTCACGTCATCTGAACTGTTTTTTTGTGATTTTTTAGACATTATTAAAAATCATTGAATAAATCAGATTTATTTCAATTTTTTTTCTTGTCGGTTACAAACATACATGTTCTTCTTTTCAGATGAGAAGTTGTTTTGGAATGAAGTCAAAAAAGAAACAAAAGAAACAAAAGAATTCAATCTTCGCTAGTGTGTCTCGATTCAAGCGTTCTGAACATACAACTTCGTCTCTGAGAATGCCTATAGAACGAAAAAATCAAATAGATGAAATAGTGGTTCATCTGACCACTAATTCATCGTACAAAAAGAATGAAACAGATAAATCTTCGACTCTGCCCCAACGGGTGTATAAAAGCAATGAACTCTCAAGTAAGTATTTAACTATTTGTAGTCCAAAGATGTTTTTTTTATTTAGCATGTTTCATATAGAACTTTTTTCTAAGGGTGCACTGACGACAATCTTCCACCAATTGTACCTACTCCTCCTTTGAAATCGACAGAAACCACTGATTCGAATGCCACTCCGTATGGGACCTCTAAACCAAAATTACCACCCATACCAAGTCGTTCATCGAGTTCCTTGTCAGATAATAAACTATTATCAACCGACCATTCAATTTCTTTCCCTAAACGTCCTATTTCAGGTCATTGTGGCCTCAAAAATATTGGCAATACATGCTATATGAATAGTGCTATTCAATGTTTGAATAGTATACCAGATCTAATCAAATGGATCATGGAACAGCAGTGTTTGTCATCTCATATGAATATACGTGAAGTTTTTATTTCTTTGATACAATCAATGCAGTCCGGTCGTTATAAATGTGTCACTCCTCATGAATTAAAGCAGCATATCGGCCGTACATCGAGCATATTTTCTGACAATGGTCAAAAGGATTCACACGAATTTATGAATTCTCTTATTAATGCTATTGAAGTAGTTGATTCATCTTCAACATTTGTCAAACTCTTTCAAATTCATACTAGATCACTGGCAACTTGCAATAATTGTAAACAGACTGATACTACCGATGAAACAACAACATTTCTTCCACTTGCAATTCCTGAAAGAATGCCCTATGACGATGGCAACATTTTACTCGAAGATTTAATTCGAGACTTTTGTCAAGAAAATGAATTAGATGGAGAGTATTATTGTTACAGATGCAAAACTTGTCAATCGGCACGACAAAAAACTACAATCATTCAACCGTTACCTCGTGCTCTTATCATACAATTGAAACGATTTCCTTACGACGGTACTAGCAGAAAACTTAATACATTAGTTAAATACAAACTAGAACATCGAAATTTATTATCCAAAAATGATAGATATGAATTATGTGCTATATCTATGCATAGTGGAAGTCTTGCCGGTGGACACTACACAACAATCGGAAAAAATGATAAAACAAAAAAATGGCATCGATTCGATGATAACTACGTCGAGAATGTTGAATCGAAAATGCTACTTGTTCCATTTATTGCAACACAAGCATATATACTTATTTACGCATTAAAACATAATGACGAAGAAATCAACGATAGTTTTTCGTAGCTATTTTATTATTTTTGATATTTATTTTAGATGAATATTTCAGACGAATCTAATACACAACAATTAACTTTAAAATATCATAATGAGACCGGTGATTGTTTATGTATATATGATAGAAACATAAATAATCCACAAATTTACACCCGCATACCACTGCGTTGGGACTTCTATCAATGGCATGATTTAGGTAAGTTTATGATCCAGTAAAAAATTGTTATTGGTTGAAATGTTTCTTTTTTCATATAGATCTACGCTGTCTTCGTCTATTTATAAACCTATTCTCTGAAGAATCAGTTGATGAATCTTTAGAGAATGTTTCGGTACCATCGATTGATGCAGATCCAAATCAGGCATCTTGTATGTCTTCAGTACCAATTGTAGCACAACCCATTGATTCTCTTCTCCTTATATTCATCCGCTATCTCCAATTAATCAATCTTATTCCATGGTCATCGCCAACATCGATTAGCGATCAGCTCCATGAAATACCTACGAAACACGAAATAGATGGTCCAATTCAAATTACTTCTCCAACTAAAAGATCTAAAAAGACACATCCAAAGCAATCTACTAAACCGGGTTTATGTGGTTTAGCTAATATCGGTAATACATGTTTTATGAATAGTGCTATTCAATGTTTGAGCAATATACCTAAACTAACGGAATGGGCTCAAAAGCAACAATTATCAAATCATAAAAAAGCCGTTACTCTAGCTTACACTTCATTGATTAAATCAATGTGGTCAGGTGAAAACTCAAGTGTCACTCCGCACGAAATAAAAAAACGTGTTAGTCAACATGCTCCAATTTTTTCGGATTATGCTCAAAAAGATTCTCATGAATTCATGAATTCTCTTCTCAATGCAATTCATTCTGAATTCGTAGAAGATGATTCGTCACACGCACAATCGTCTATTGTTACCGATCTTTTTCGTATTCAAACAGAATCCAGAGTAATCTGTTCACATTGTAATATGCATGATTCAGTCGAAGAGACAACTTATTGTCTACCGTTGCCGCTTGGATGCGAATCAACGGTAACTCTAGAAACGGTGTTAGATGAATTTTTAAAAGAGGAATCACTTGATGGAGAATATTATTGCTCACATTGTCAAGAACTTCGTTTAGCTAAACAGAAGACAAGTTTATGTCAGCCACTGCCATCAGTAATCATAGTTCAACTTAAACGATTTACTTTTGACGATACCGATGATAAATTAAATACGTTCGTAAAATATCCCATTCAAAATTGGAAAGTCGACGGTAGCAGTAATTCATTGTATGATCTTGCTGCCGTTTCTATGCATGTTGGAAATTTAAAAGGAGGACATTATACAACGTTTGCTCGTTTGAACGGCTCAGGTCAATGGTATCATTTCAATGATTCTAATATTCAACCTCTGAATGATACCAGTTGTCTTGTAAATCGAAACGCTTATGTTTTAGTGTATTTAAGACAAGATTACATTTAAAGAGCTCTGTTTCTTGATTGTTCGTTTTCATTTTAGATTTTTAATAAAAAGATTATTTCGTAGAAAAAATCTTCATGTATGTTAAACGAAATTCCACTATCAACCAAGTTGATTATGCTCTTTTCTAGAATGAACGATCCAGCATCTAACTTTCGCCCATCGTTAATTTATACATCATCATCTTTATCCGATAAAGACTACTCTCAGCCAAGACCAGTGATAAGCATAGTACCAACACTATTTACAACTCCAAAACTTGTTAGATTTCGAGTATGTAGAAGCTATCGAAATTATTACGATCTTATACATATATATATACGAGAAGACAAAACATTAATAGAATTGAAAGAGGAAATCTCTAGAAAACTTAAATCATTGATGGAGTACACAGATTTCTCACTAACAAAATCTCAAGATAATGGTTACTCTTGGGCGCGTATCGATGACTCAGATGGCCATAAAACAATTGCTGATCTAAAACTTTGCTCGGACACTATTTTAAACGTGGAGACACCGAAAGAAACAAATAACAAAATACAAAACAACGTATCAAATATTAGAGGCGCGATTTTAACTTTGAAACTTTGCAAACAACCAATGAACGAAGTAGATTGCGAATATATTGATATACGTTCATCGATTACTATTGGCCAACTAAAAGAAGAAGCACGAAAACGAGTCATAAATCAAAAAACGAAACACTTATACTTGTGGACATCGAATGGATGGATGAAATACAAAAGTGATTTGGACCATTTGACTGTAGCTGAATTAGGCTTTCGTGCATATTCAATGATAAGTTTTGAAAAAGACGACGACCCTATTCCTGGTCTATGTGGCCTAACAAATTTAGGTAATACATGTTTCATGAATAGTGCTCTTCAATGTTTGAGTAATATTCCTGAATTCACCCGAAAAATTCAATCGTTGGGAAATGAAATAAACGCACCAATTATTGGTGCTTATGCAGCATTGATTAGATTGATGTGGTCAGGTGAACATACGATCACTGCACCTTCGTCTTTATTACTGAATATATCTGAGAGTTTACCGCGTTTTCGGCAATATCGACAGCAAGATGCACAAGAATTTATGAACCAAATTCTACATCTAATCCATCAAGAGTTAACAAATGAAAGAACATTAATAACTGATCAGTTCTACGGTCGAATGCAATCAAGTGTTAAATGTTTAGGAGGATGCAATTCCATTGAAACTCGCGAGGAAGTAATTAGCTTTCTCCCATTACCTGTCGACAATGAAATCAATCAATACGAGATTCTCTATCTTGAGAGTAATGGGGATCAAAGTTTAGTTTCTGTCTGCAGTTGTGCAAGAACGATAGGCACACTCATCCACTCGTTCATCGAACAATATAGACCACAATTGTCATCAACAAGGATCCGACCCGTTAGAATAGCAGAGAACGAAATTAAGGATGAATATTCAGACTACACACGGCTAAATGATACAACAAGGCATGAACTCGCTTTCATCGAACTTCCGGAGAAGACTTTTGATAAAAGTTATGTCAAAGTAGTGTTTCTCAATCGCCAAACATACGAACCATTTCGAGCACCTATCTATACCATTCGTCCAACCTATGATTATTATGAATCAGATCTATCCGATCAGATGAATTGTATTCAGAATCATATCCAGTCAAAAACTGGTGCGCCAAGTTCTGCATGTCATCTCTATTCGATCAATCATATGGATCAAGCTAAATATTTGAACGTCAACGCAACTCAAGAGAACAATCAATTATTATTCATGAAACACATTAAATTTGAATTGGATTCGAAATGGATTGAGAAGTATACAAGCAGGTACAAGATAGATAGATCATCTAGTAAGCCATCATTGACAAGTCTATTAGCAGATTTTTTTCACGAAGAGCCATTGAACGGTGATTACTACTGTTCTCAATGTTGTGATCTGAAGCCAGCAAAAGAAAAAGCCGATTTAGTACTGCCATTACCCCGTGTGCTAATTATTCAGTTAAAGCGGTTCACCTATGATCCTTATTCAAACACAAAAATTGATATATACATTGACTTTCCGCTCAGAGATCTTGATCTTAGTCATTATATCATTGAGAAAAATGGTCAGAAGATGAATTCACCAATATACTATGATCTTGTCGCTGTATCTAATCATACAGGCAGTCTTATTAGTGGACATTATACTACATACGCCAGAAATGTTGAAAATCGAAGATGGTATTCGTTCAATGATGAAAGCGTTCGAGAAATTGTCGATGAAAATGATATTGTAACAAAAAATGCTTACATTCTTGTATATGTTCAGCAAGCTGCTTTGTGAATTATTTCAGTTTCTTTTTTTGTATGACACATTGTTTTCGCACATAAAGTACCATGAAACAAATTATTCGAACGCAAACAAGAAGCACTAAGATATAAATAGAAATAGAAACACTCTTGTGACAGTTAGAACAATAATCGAGAGTGGTGTTGATTTTCTTCCTTATTTTAGCAAACATTGACGGTGAGGCCATGGATTTGATTGAGAAATGATCAGTCACATCTACGAAAATATACGCATCGCATGCTCACATTCACACAGGATTTTGAGGTCTATAAAGTTTGCGTGACATGCTTATCGTTCATGTTTCTTAGAGAAAGGAGCATGCTATGGTATTTATGTTAGTTCGTGTAATCTTTTAGAATAAATGATTGTTTAAATAGAATGTTTTTTCATAGTAATTTTCGTCAATTTTTCATGTTGATTTGAAAGAAATCCCAAAAGATCAAACAACAGAATTTATGACATACAATATACTGCATCGATTGCAGAGATGGGCAAGTCAAGTCAAAAAATGACTTCACCTGATGATTTTTTGAATGAATTATGACTCAAATTGACTTGACTTGAAAGCAGACTTGACTTGACTTGAAAATATTTTGAACTACTCATGACTTGACTTGACTTGACTTGGAATTTTCTTTGGCTTAGCTATGACTTGACTTGAAATTTTCAGAAACTGACTTGACTTGACTTGAGTCGAAAAAACGCTGACTTGCCCATCTCTGATCGATTGATAGTTAGCAACGTATATCGTCGTTTAATTCCATATAGCAATAAGTGCATCCAGTCGTGAGACCATCAATAGACGAATGATATTTATATTTTTTTCGGTAAGCATTTATTTATATTTTTGAAGGAGTCATACCTTTGATACAGTGTGCTGCATTGTTTACTCCGGACTCTTTCTTATTGGTTTCATTGCATTGAGTTTCATCCTAGACTTGAATAGACTCTCAATTTACTCAGTAGAGAACTTCACTGATATCTCGTTTACAAAATAGCAGCATAACTTAGAAAAAGGGTTTTCAAGAAAATTTACTATCAACTTTTAACTATTTGTCGATTTGTATCTTGATAAAAGAATAGGGAGTACCTACTATCGTAATTTAGCCATTAGGAACAGCTTATAGTTTGGATTTAAGAGTGAAATTTTCATTCTACTTTGCTTTAATTCTGATATAGCTAGAATTTGTGTTCATGTGAATTTATAGTTTTTGAAATTTTAACAACTGAGCACTGGTAACAAAGATCGTTCTAAAATTTCCAAACCTTCTTATTCAGTTGATGAAATTTATGACAAACTGATATCAATACAGAATTTTCGGGTACAAGATTTGATTTATGACTTGAAAAAAAGCAACTGCGAAATGTTTTCATATATAGAATACTCTTGGATATGTGTGGAGTCAATGGCGTGCATCTAGTTTTAAATTGGTATGAAAAAAGATCTTCTATGCATTCATTCATCCACACTCATAGACTTACCAAACTTTAGAAAGCACCATATGAAAGAAAATTACTATCTTTTTCTTCAATAATTAGATATGAATATCGATAAGAAGTTGTTTTTTTTCTGTATAATTATGATCAATCATAATTATATGTGAGTTGATTTAGTAGACAATAATGTTCTTTTGAAATGATCTGAAGTATGGTTAAACATGCCCGCTGAGTAATCAACCGATTCTCTAGTTGATCTTCGTATATTTTATGTTTGGCTCAAAAAATTTAGGGTAGGTAAAAACGTTTTTGTAAGTGATTGTTGAATAAAACGAAATATGACAAATTCTGACAGTAGAATAACTTCCGTCTCTGATGAACATCTGTGTTAGGACTCATTCACTCTTGTTTGTAGTGGTACTAGTTCTGAAATTTATGCTGCTTTTGTATCCATATCATACGCGACATGACTTTCATTCATATAAATAAATTGTCTGCATTACTAACATTGACGTACCTCTGGCTAGCTCTTCAACTTGTATTCGACTTTTTTCAGCTATTATGATATGAAAGCGCTGCTCGCGATTGATCATGATCGTTGATCTGTGAACTAATGTTAATCATATTGATATAGTTCACTGATGATTGATAAATATATGCAGAAATACTGAAACTATATTTTAAGCAAATATCGCATTTAAAATTAATATCAATCATATAAGGTGAATTTTCATCCTTTGTACTTATTTCTTTAATAAAAACATGAAGAAACCATAGAGAATTAATTTCTGTACACAAGTTCATAGTTCTGAATGCGATAAACACGATACATTCAATAATAAAAACAATTCATAACAAGTTTCATCATTCTACTGCTGTATGCTGCAACATCTACATCAGCTTTTGTCACTAATTGATTGACAGCAAGACTTGTTTCTAGTAATGTTTCTTTTTCAATATTTGGTTGTCAAAGGTGGATGAAATTCCGGCAACATTAAAAGTGTACATAAGTTTATAAAAATACATGTAAGTTGACGACTTGTTACTATTTACTTTATCTGGTTTGAAGTTAGGTGCGTCATCAAGAACAAACAATAAAGAAAAGTGCTTCAATATTATTAGTGAAGTATTTCGACTATTAATACCATAGTAGTTTGCAGTTTTTTTTCGCAGGAGCAATTGTGTTTCGTTATGGATTCAAATGACGTCGTATTGACGTTTTTATTTAGATTGATTAAAAAACAAATCACAGTGACACTATGCATAGCAACCACTGCACCTCATTATTATTTATAAATTGACTTTAAATTTAATCATATTGATGTATATATACATATTTATACAGTACATATTTTCATTCGTAACTTTTTACAGATGTTTTTTATAGTAAAACTTTACAAGTGAGATAGACCAACGATATTTGAAATTATTTGTTGATGTAATACAACCAAATCTATCATGGAACGACATCTATTATTAAATAGATGTATTAGACGCATGAGTCTCTGATAAGTGTATCTCTTTTTTTATCTCTTTTTTCCTTTTTCTCCTCTTTACAAATATCGTTGGTGATAGATGAACATTTATACAAACAAGGTACATGTGTTTGCCTGCTTAGTCTGGGTTTGCTAGAGTCAAATAGTTGGTTCGTGTTTGTTTTCTCTGTACTAATAGAACATTACTTCTTCGTATTATTTTTTCTTCGTCGTCTCGTCACATTTTCTTTTTCATTTCATAATCATTACAATACTAGAATATCAATTTAAAAATAATTAGACAGTGCCGTTTTATTTTTTCATCATAATGCTTCAATACATAAATTACCATTCAAGCGCGATTCGATTGATTTTCTATTAGCATCTTTTCATAAATTGAGAAGTACGAACAGTCATCTCCTTTTTGAAAGCAGCGAAAATAACAACATTTATTATGCACTCAAACTTTCATGATTTTTTAATGATTACAGTTATAAAATGACTTCTCAATTAACGATCATAATAGTAGCATCATTAAATGCGAGTTTTGATAGTAAATTTATTTTATGTATACTTTTCTTACATATGATTAGAAATCAAAATTTAAAATGTCAATCGTTATCTGTTTTAAACATGCATAAAACTCAGAGGCCATACATGACCAGTAAGTTTTTATCTACTGAGTTCTAGTCGAAAAAAGAAATAAAGAAATTCAGTTCTCTCTCTCTCTCGCTCGTTCCTTGATTAATAGCAATATGATCTTCAACTACTTGCGATTATGAACGAATTCAGCAGTGTCAATGACATTTTTATACTTCGAGTTTAGGTTTGAAGGACTTGTGAAGGAGCATACTAAACATACCGATGAAATGCGTCGGCATTGAGACAGAAATTACACATGACAAATATCTAATAAAGGTATGTTTCATCTAGCCAGTGAAGTGTAGCGAATAGTCATAGAGCAAATATCTATCGAAGATGGTGACATTTTTAATATTCTACATGAAACGAGTACAAGTTTCGTTGAGGAGTTGCACATTTTTCGCCGTGCGTAACAAGATATGCAGTGTATTTTCCAATTGTCTTCTTAATGAAATATGATCCAATTTTTAAAAAGTCTTTTCTCATTTGTCAAAGACTTAGTATGATAAACTAAATGGGATAGATATATGTTCAGATTCTTATTCGGAAATATAAAATATATGTGGTACATGATATGACTAAAACTGTTTAAGATACATCATTGTGTTATTTTCTAATTTAGTTAAATAATTAGAATAAGCTCGTAACGATTTTATTCATGCTTTTGAAAGATGAAGATAACAATTGGACAAGAGAATAAAACGGAATTATGTGAATAAATACCATTGTAAGAGTTCTTAACTAGGAGAAAAGAGTGAAGGAAATTATCTTTGTTTTTTTTTAATCGTTACTAGCGATTCATTCATTCATTCGTTATGCAATCAAGTAGCATTGCCTATGATAGCCTCTAATACTGTCTAGCGACGTCATACACGGTACAACTAAAGGGAAAGGTAAATACTTTTTGTAACTTGGAAGAAAATTCTACTGTAAACTACAGGCTATACTCTAGCAGTAGAAATCAAATGGAAAGTATTTTGCCATTAAACAATAGTTTGAATTTTCTTCAAATGTAAAAACTGTCGTAAAATCTTCTTGATTTTTTAAATAAACTTTTCGTCATACCGTCTCCATCACCGAGTTTTTGATAGTTTTATAGGGATTTATCACCACATTAGGTAAGTAGTTAATATAATTGTTTAATATGAAATAGTTTACTTGATTAATTAAGAAATGAATAAGATAACGTTGTAGTCTGTCGCTGAAAGAATTTTAATGACTAAAAAAGTTCACATGTCTCATAATGTCATGTTCATGTCCTCATGACTGATATTATGCTTCCTGCAATTTATTGTTCTTTCGCTGCAAAAAAAAATGTGCATGCTAAGTCAGAGGCGAACAAGACCGAAAAAAAAGCGATAAAATTACCGAACTTGAGACGTTAGAGACTTTTCGTTTAGTAATTAACTAAATATATGAAAAAATAACATTGATATTTGATTCTAGTTGCGAAAATTCTTTCGTCAATAGAATAAAGAAGTAGGATTTGTCGCTGAAACAAAAAATATTCCCAAAGCTAAGATGAAGTAACTTCCATTTTTAAGTCACGAATTCGATCAAATAGATTCATGCATTATACAGGTAGAAAAGAGAAAAAATATTTTGATACTGACTAATCATAAATAAATCATAAAATTTGCATCAGAAGCCGTACATTTTATTGCTTCTATCGTAATATTCCTTTTCTTTTGAATTCCCAAATCTCCCTTAGCTCACATAGAGTATGTTCAATGCATTGAATGTTTTCCTATGTATTCATATTAAACCACGGTAGTATCATTATTATTTTTTCTGCTCGTTGATTGACAGTAATTAGCTATTTCGCAATTTGTCGAAAAAGAATTCACTCGACAAGAAAACCTTCACTAAACATAACACATATATGAGACACACTAAGTCTCTGAATAATTCTCAACTGATATATTGCTTTCGAGAAATTTTAGCTAGAAACGCAATTTGTTTTTTTGTTTTTGATCAAAATTTATTGATTTCAATTGATTGCGTAAGAATTTTCGCCGATCAAAAGCAAAAATATGTAGGATTTGTTTTTTCTTTCTATTTGCATTTTGGACTCCTTCGATAAAATTAAGCCTGATTATTCGTTTTCAGCTGTTTTTTTTTGTTTTTTTCTCCAATTACCACAAGCGTCATAGCGAGACAGCAAAAAAATAGATGCAAATGGACTGAGAAAAACAAAGTAACAAGTACAGTATGTACAACGAATAACTTTTGTTTTTCTACGCAGAACGCATAAAAGAATTATACATAGAAGAAAATGTGGTGTGATTCTCATGTCATACGATGATTGGTGCTGTTATTATTTCAACAGTCGTAGATCTTTACATAAGTAGCTATTGATGAATTTTCATTAAGAAAAACTTGATGAATGATGATTAATAATATTCACTGAATCTTATCAAAGAACAGAGTACTGATTATGAAAAAAAATAAAATAAAATATAATGGCATTTTCATTAGTTATAAGTAGAGAAAAAAAAGAACGAAATTGATGTCAATCAAACAAATCTATATCTTGCTAGACGTCTTTTTGTTTCTACGCCATTCATCTTCCATATATTTGATTTTTGCTTTAGTTCTCATTAAATAAAATTTAGGCATATTTTCTTTGTAGATATCATGCCAACGGTCAGTGCTCGACGAGCATCGATAATTATTTCAACAGAAGACTCGGCTAACACGTATTCAAATGATGCATCTAGCATACGGTCTTCAACAAAAGATGACAATATATCTTTGACATCAATGGATAATATTAATAGTAAAAATGGAAGATCGAATGGAAGAAATTATCGACAAGAAAATCCTACAGCAGCAGCAGCAGCAGCAGCAGCAGCAACGGCATCATCATCATCGACAACGGATTCTGACATGGAAAGTGAACAAGATGATCCAGTTAAAGAAGAGGAAAAAAACAAACATAAGAAAAACCGGGGACGTTTATCAAGACGAGAAAAATATTTTCGTAAAATGTTTGCATCTGAAATACCTGATCCTATGCCAAAATTAATTGATTATTATCTTTGTGCATATCAAGGTGATATATTATTGCAAGGTAAAATGTTTATAACAGATCGGTATCTTTGCTTTTATTCGAAAATCATTAATTATGTAACAAAACATGTTTATCGTTGGGACAATATTGAACGTATTACAAAAGAACGTGTTGCCTATATATTTCCAACAGCTATTCGACTAAAATTAAAAGACTCTGGCAAAAGAGTTATTTATGCTTCATTTCTTTCACGGGATCTGGCCTATGATAAAATCACATCGATATGGCCACATTCTTCAAATAATAATAATTTAGCAGCTGATGATGAAAATAGAAGTTCTAGAAAGAAAACATTGAAACGTAATTCATGTGAATCCGTTCAAATATCTGAACCAGATGAAGTTTTAGAGCATTGTTTAAACGATCCAAATAGTAATCGACGACGAGGTGGTTCGGTTTCACCACGACGAAGTGATGAAGAAAAAACACTAGTACCATTAATAAATTCATCTGTCGAAAGACCACGCACGAAATATTTGACTATCAATCCAAAAACATCGAATCAAGCGAATGGTAATAATAATAAAAATACTCGACCTCTACGTTGTATCAAAAACGAACGAGATGAAGATAATACAACAACAAAAAGTAAGATTTTTATTAATTCTTTTTTACTTTTTTCTCTGATCATGTATTTGATAGATACTAGATGAATATGTTTGATATTTTCATACTTTTAATTTCGTCTAGAAATTGAATTTTGAAAAGATAAGCTCTAGAGAGTTACAGATCTAAATTTAACATAGAAATATTGAAGATTTTCTCTTGTTTTTTTCCTGATATTAGTCACTACGTTAATCCTCTGTTATGTAGGCATGTATATTAGAAGTATTATATAGCTGATAGGCCACTGATGGCAAACATATTGATTTCCGAAGCATACCATTAATATTCGCAGTATAGTTTGTCTGAGTATGACAGACACACCGCACGTGTGAGATACGTGTGTGTTTTTGATTATTTTTGTTCTTCTATTCAAGTACTTTTTACTGTCTACGGGCAATCTGGAAGGCAATCTTACAAACAAAAATCAAATCATATTTCGTAGCTTTGAAGTGAATCTCATACAATCCTTCTTTTAGTAAATTGATCTAGGGCGAAGAAACTATTAAAACGAATTATGTCTTTTTGAATTTTCTGACGAAACCTAGATGATTAAAGTCAATAAATGTATTTTAAAGAAGTAAATATAACTTGTCTATCATCACAATTAATATGATATCTATTGACAAACCCATAAAATATACAATGAATTATATGTTTTATAACAGTTTATCGTAGTGTATCATGCCATACAATGATTCTATTTATGATGTCTATCAGCAACAAATACGTAAATCTTTGAGTATTTTTAATATTTCAATAGAATGGTAGTAAATATATTTTTTTTATAGAGCTAGAATAGGCTATCCATTATATTTCTATGCAACTGAATATAATATTCTTTTTAATTAATTGTCCTCTCTAATATAGGAAGTCGTACGGTAAATAATCGATTGCAAGATAATTCGTCATCATTACAACCAAGTCAAACTATTGATCAAGCATTATCTGTACCAGAGCAACCAATATCTCATTCAAAAGCATTGCCATCCGTAGTAGTATCAAACACAAGTCCGTCGATAAGACATATAAATGATAAAGGAATTTCAACAAAAGCTTTTAATGTAGCCATTTCTTTTATTAATCTGATTATTCAAACTTTATCATCATTGTTCCATCGTTTTCATATATATCCAACGAAAGCAACGACTTTTATTTTCATATGTATGGTACTTGTATTCATGCATTCATTCTATTTAATCGCCTTAGCTTACCGGCTAGAAAATCGTCTACAAACATTACATAATCGGTGGCCATCATCCTTAATGAAAAATTCATTTTCATCAAATTCAAAACAATTATAGTAGTACAAATAAATGATTTTATCGCTTAAATATATATATATATATATCCGTCCAAATAAACATGTAGCTCCGGTTATAGTACTCATGCGGTGATGAACCTAACCAAACCATATTTATTTTTACTTGTATAAACAATTCTTTTTATCGTAATTTTTACTCGCGGAGCGTTTATTTTATTTGAGATTATCTACTGTTTTAATTAGTAAATAAGAGGGATTCATTCTAGACAAGATGTAATGAGTACAACGCTTATTTTATTTACTTAATTCATGAAGTCGTTTATTTGTGCTTGTGTGGGTTTTTATTTTCTGTATTGCATAGCATGAAGATTTTAAAATGAAATACTTGTGAAAGTTTATTATGAAAATACTCCACCGATTTCCTACTATGATGCTTCAATTGATTCCAACGAGATACAACAAAAATTTTATTGAATAATCTATATGACATCGATAGACATGGTTAACGAAGTTGGAATATTTAATAAGCATATCGTTAATAAAATATGTTTCTATTTTGCTTCGTCATATGATTTATATCGTTACATCGAATTTATCCGAACGATTTTAATTTATTTTTATAACATTGCAAAATCAAGGAAAGATCATATAGAGACATTTTAAAATTGTTTTGGTGCATCTATTTTTGTAAATGTAGAATTCCATTAAGAGAGAAACAGTAAATAATCATGCACAGAACAAACTCACACTATAATAGCGGCGAGCACATGATGAAGTGCAATCGATGACGATGCAATTTTCAATTCAGAAAAATATGCATCCAGTGACTGACACGTATTGATAAAAACGTTTCTCTGTAGAAACATGCAAAAGTAAACAAAACTTAGGACAGTTTATTTTTCAATGTTAAGAATAATCAGTAGATATATCAGATTTTTTGACCAGCCTGCAATCATATATTTCGATCTAAACAAGTTGCAATATAGAATAGAAAGAGAAAAAGAACGTCAATCGTATTATGTAAGCGAAAGGGCCAATCTAACCAAATTTATTTTTTGAATAATTGATGAATATTTAATCGATTTGCGTGTGTGGTGAAGAGTAGAAGGAGACTGGCCATTTTTTTCTTATTGAACATTTCGTTTTTCATTAACGAATAAGAGGATTTTGAGCATAAGTAACTGAGAATTTTAATTATATAAACAGATTTTTTTTGATACCTTTGAAGCAATCGATACTTTCAATATGACATAGTGTATGACTTTCATATGAAGTTAAAACTGAACGTAGAAAAAAGTATTCTCGATTGAATCGATTATTTTGCAAGCTGATTCAGTGTTTTAGCGACAAGTTGTCTGATCGCAACGATGCACTAACCGTGTAATTTTCTAGAGAATAAAATATCAGATCTACCTGTTTCTTCCCAACTACAAACTTTATAATTGACTTTTAATTCACGGAAAACAAAATTTCATCGTTGAAAAAATGCAATCTAAATGATATTAATTGAACTCACAAGTACAATCAATAGCGGATCGATTTGAGGAAAAAATTCCATTTTTCAAATTTGAAGTTCTTTGTTTTCAAGTTTCACTTGTATATTTTTAGAAACTACAAACAAGCGAAGGTTACAGTAGGCATGCAAAAAAAATATAAATGTTTGATTGTTGTGGAACGACAACATGTTATTTGCACGAATTAATGTTCTTTTATATTTTCTTTTTTTTTGCGCAAAATTCCCTCAGAGGAATATTTCAATGGCATCCAACTAGATTCATAATAATCTTGATATTATTTTTTGAAAACTCGACACAAATTTGATAGCATTTAGAGAAAAATGGATTTCTTTCATTTAGGTATGTAAAATTACAATCTCATAAAGAAAAACAATGCAAATATTCAACTCGTATTCATGCAAATGAAATAGAATACTTCGGTGCTTTTCGGTACTTTCTGTTTCATTTAAAATAACAAACAATAATCTATTGGACAATTGTTGAATGTATTTTTTAATATACAAATGTAATGAATATATTGAATCAAAACAAACGTAATCAGACAAAGATACGAGTGAAACTTTCGGATATATGAAGTGAACAAGCACAGGTATTCTACTGTTACCAAATAGATATAAACAAGGAACAGAAAAAAAACACAAATTTTTAACTTCTGTATGGATGATGTCTGACTTGTGGTATTACATTTGATCGTTGCACAAGTTGGGCTGGTTGTTGAGCCACAACGCCAGCAGCAGCAGCAGCAGTAGCTGTTGATTGTTGTTGTGCATTAACATTTTGATTCGATGTTGTTTTAATCATTTGATAAGCACCAGCAGCAGTTGGTTGTCCACTAGCAGCAGTAATTTGATAAGCTATTTGCTGTTGGGATTGAGATGGATGTTGTTGAGTAGCACCATTGTGTAGAGCAGGACCAGCTGAATACATTACTGGAGCTCCGGTAGTAGTGACTGATCCTGGTGTTGGAGCTGCTGAAGCAAGAACATAACTTTGACCACCTGCTTGATAAATCGCTTGAGCACCGGTTGATGTATAATACATTTGTTGTGGTACAGCTTGCTGAGCAGCATATTGCATCTAAGTAGATTGAATAGCAATTTTACTATTGAATATTTTATGTTTAATATAAAATTTGATTTTCTACCTGAGCCATTAAGTTCAGTTGTTGTTGCTGTTGAGCTGCTGCTTGCGTCATAGCAGCATAATAAATATTATTTGCATTAGCACCATTAGCAGCTTGTTGTTGTTGTTGTTGTTGTTGTTGCTGCTGCTGTTGTGGATGATATGCATGTTGGTATTGTTGTTGTTGTTGAATAGCAGCTGCTGTAGCTGTTGCTGCGCTTTGTTTTTGTGGTGAAATAACTGTTGATGCTGGTTGCGATTGAAGTAGAGTTGGCGATGAAACGACGGAAGCTGAGTTTGTTGCAGACCCATTTGCATTAGCTGGCTGTGGTGCACCGATGTAGTGAGCTGGTGATTGAGTCATATAAGCTAAAATTGTTTTTTTTCCAAAGATAATCTTTTTATATTATAAATTCAATTCTTTAAAGAGACTAACCTTGTGCAGAAGCTGCATTTGTTGCTTGTAGAATCGACTGTGCCGATAATCCCTGTTGTTGTGCATAATTAACAGGCAATTGAATATATTGTGTTTGGCCTGCTTGTACAGTTGGCTGTCCAGCATATTGATAAACAATTTGTTGTGGTTGTCCGCCAACCATAGCAACTGGAAATCGTGCTGCAGCTGTTGCTGTTGGTTGACCAGCTGCATTTAAAGTAATGTATTGTTGCTGCTGCTGCTGCTGTTGTTGTTGTTGTTGCTGTTGTTGTTGTGCAAACTGTACTTGTTGTTGTATTGCTGCAGTATTTGTTGATGAACTTTGGCCAAGTAAAGCATAACCACCACCAGCTGTACGTACCAGTGTATAACCAGCAGGAATACCATTAAGTAAACTTTGCTGTTGTTGTTGTTGTTGTTGAGCTGCAGCAGCTAATTGGGCAGCTTGTTGCTGTTGGACCATAGCTTGTAACTGAGCAGCATAAAGAGCTGATTGTTGTATGTTTTGACCTGCATGCGTTGCAAAGGCCATTGGATTCGTAGCAGCTGCTGCTTGATAACCACGAAGAGCATCTAATGAAATACCTGAAATAAACGAATATGATATTAACATATTAATGCTTGATTGGAATATATCGTACCGCCATAGATTACTTGCCCATTAAGACCATTTCCAAGGCCAGGGGCTGCAGCATATACAACACCCGATGGTGCTCGTATTGCTCCTGCAGTTGGAACAGCACCGAGAAGACCACTTTGTCGATAAGCAGCTTGAATAGCTGTAGCTGAGTGAGCTAATGGGAGAGTTGTCGCGACAGCTGTAGCTGGTACTATACTATTTGGACTTGTCGATCCCGAAGATATTGTAGGTGGCGGTGGTGGTGGCGGCGGTGGTGGTATTGTAGAATTCAAGAAAATTTCATTATTATTTGTCAATAGCCCCGTAGATGGTGATGATGTTGCCGATCGATTACCATTAGGTATTGCCGGTGATGATGGTAGTGTTCCATTAGTGGCAGGAGCCGATGTATTATCTGATATTGGTATGGTAGAACTGGTTTCCCAATTTGTGTTTGGGGAATGTTGTTGTTGTTGTTCTACTACTGTTGGTGGTGGTGGCTCTTCTTCATAAATATGTTCAAGAGCACGTGTAGCTGCTTCAGCTAATTGAATATTTTCTTTTAATTTATTCTGTAATAATGGATCATCAGTTTGTGCAATAACTCGTAATGTATCTGTTTCTAATATATCTGTATCTGTATCAAAATCATCAAAATTTGATGGCCATTGACTTCCTAGAATGAATAATGATTTAATCATAAAATATCAACTAAATAAACAAACCGTCTTGAATTAGACTAACTATTGCATAAGGTAGACAATGATGAGGTCGTTTAATTGCTTCACGACCTTCAAATTCATAAAGAAATATCTAAAAATCAGTTCATACAATTAATATTAATAGAAAACCAATTTATTATTATTATTATTATTTTACTTGTGATTGATCAAATTGTTTCTCTAGGTCATCGGTTTCTTTCGGCGTGATTACTGAACAATGGCTTGTAAATTGTGCTGTAGGTGCAATCGGTTGTAATTTAGGCCCTTTTCGCACAAGAGCTGCTGTTTGTTTTCCTTCGACAATCTGAAAGAAAAACAAAAACATATATTAAGTAAACCGTAGAAAAGTTTTCATTCTATCATGGCAACTAACCTTGAAGACAATCATTTTAATGACGACATTCCCTTCCCATGTTCGACGAACACTAGCGTGTCGAATACATACATCTGCATATTTACAAACATATATACCATATTTACTATGTCCTAAAACAACAATAGAAACAAAATTATAAACTGGAAATGAAAAACTGAGTGAGACACTCATAACAAAAATAAAAACGAAACGACAATAATCATGGAACAGTTAAGTGGCAGAAGTATATAGATTCAAATCAAATAATAGAATTACTCAATTTAAAATAGAGATTTATGAAACATGCAGAAATAAAATAGAAAACTATTATTAGACATATGGAAAAGGCAAATCCTAATAACCACAAATCAACTAAGATCCATTCTTTTTTTATTATATTAATTACAATTGGTTATAAATATATGTATAGTAAATGATCCCCACATATTTTCAACAAGTAAGAATCGATACTACTATGATAGTTGTCATAATTGTTATCCAAAACAATTTCATAACTAATTCATGACACCTTCTAAATCCTTTCTGACCAAAATTGAATCTACAGCAAAGAAACATCTAGCTATAATAACCTAAAGTCCATTAGTTTATACAAAATCACAGCATAAAATACTGAAAAACGCAAGCGAACTAAAGAGAATAGAATCAAGTGAATAATATTACATTAAAAAAAATAGTTGTGAATATATAATAATAACGACTGATATAGGTGTAGGGATAGAAGAAAGAAGCCCGAGCATTTATCATCGCTCGAAACTCACGTTGTTGCTTGTTTCACAGATTCCATTTGTATAAAAATATTTCATGATCCCTACACGAATAACTAAGACACACAAATATCAAATTAAAGAAAAAATAATTCAGCACAAAATATATAAATGAAGCCCCATGCAAATGTGCATTTAAATAAGTGTGTATAAGAAGATCTGTTTACCAATATAAAAAAAAAACAACAGAAGAAAGAAAATACAAAGAGCACATGCAAGCAAATTCTATAAACAGTTTTTTTTCGCAGTAATCAATCCATAGTTAGTAGATATAAAAGTGTATATAATTGTGCATATACGACCGAATTCGTTTATAGTGATAATAAATATATATATACAAAGAAAGATAGACATTGATTGTGAGCGCATGACAATAGCAAAAACAAAAGAAACGATTTCAATAATAGTGAATCCTATTATTTTTTAAGAATTAGTAAAGAAAAGGATTCACAATAAATAGGATTATAATAATGCAATGCAATGTGAGCATTTTTATGATTGTTCAAAATTTAACAAAAATAATAACCGCGATAGAAATAGCAGCGCAATTATTCAATAACCATTTAGAACGATATTTAGATTTTTTTATAAAAAAAAAAGAACAAGTAGTAAGTGATAGAAATAGGGCGATCTACACCCATGATTGTGATATAGATACTTAAACATAAGAATTAGCAAATTTTCAAGGTTATATACACACTAGCCGATACATACAGTGTCGGGATAAGGAAAAAAATTAAGCAAGTATATATTCACACATATTACAAAAACAGAGCTTGTTAAACACATTCTCCTCTCTTGCTCCCTGTGTATTCTATTTAAAGATTATCATATTAGTAAATATGAACTAAAGAATGTGTTTGATATATGAATAAATAAACGAATAAATATATAACTACCTAAAACGTTGAAAGAAGTTTCCATGCAATGATAACCATTATGGCATATATCAAGAATTTGTGTGTCATTTTCTATTAGAAAAGCATAGCGTTCTTCAAACTCACAACGATTACCAGCAGCAGCTTTTTCAAATTTTTTTCGCACAGCTAAATATAAAAAAAACAATTAAACAATATCAAAGTTAATAAATAAATAATATTAGCAAATAGAAAGCAAGCATATATCGTGATCAGATATCATTAGTTAAAAGTTATAGAAGTCAATTGACTAACAATTATGATAGTATTTTTCAAATATTCTTATTCTATACGACCGTTATATCAGCAAGCAGTAAATCAATATGGACACAAAAAAAAAGAGGTCCTTCATAATCTCTCATAAAATAAAATAACGTGCGACTGCTGATATATTCTCAAAGTGTTTTGGTACAAATATTTTCAAGTAGAGAGAGAGAGAGAGAGACAGCAAACATGCAAACTACCTTTAAGACAAGCATTACAAGAAAAAAAATGAATTAGTCATTAGTTTATTAAATAATATTTGATTTTGTTTTCATGCATGTTTCATTATCTTCTGTGCATGATAAATAATGATCGAATGAAAGAATTATTTGGCAAGAAAAAAAATGAAAATTTTACAGACAAAAAGCATGCAAATGAAAAAATAGATTAGATTAGTATTTATTTTCACAACGAAAAACTTTTAACCGACCAATTCAGATTTTGTTAAGATGGAGAACTAGAAACATACTATTGTTTTTTCTTTTCGAAATCGATTCTGATAATAACTCAGCGAAGAAAACAAACATCTAACAAAAAAAAATATATTTACCAAAAAAGTCATCCGTCAATGATGTATTGACAATTAATTCGACTTTAATAGGTTTCCATGTTATGGATCGTTGTTCAAGAAAATTTTTACGTAAAATGTCATGAACGCTACGCTCGATTTTCGAATGATTACTTGTTTCTAACAATAATTCTAAATATGGAATAGAATGGAATGAGGAATAAAACACATTTCAACAAATAAGCATATTCGTACTTAATGGTATTTCAAGAGCATTTTCTGTTTCTTCATTAGCATTTGTTCCTTTTTCATCAGTCATTGTTAGCAACAAATGAAAAAATGAATCTGAGATAAGTTACAATACACTTTGATTTGATGTGCATACATTTTTTTTTCTTACCATTCCAGTAAAATGACAATCAGCCTCTGCGATAGGAAAGAGGGCGTTCGCTACTCATGTACATAAATGTAACTCTTCACGAAAAGAAATACAATGCAATTAGAAAATGTTTGCTCGTAACGTAAATTTAACATTATTCGAGTAATTCATTCAACAAATGATTAAATATTGATAATAAAAATATGGCTATTCCCTTTGTTTGTTGAAAATTTTGATGATTACTTATTTAGAATTAAAACATCATTACGTTATTCATTTTGACAAAGTTAAATATGAAATTCACACGGCGGAGAAGGTTCAGTTGCGAGTTTATGCAGAACTAATGATTACAAGGTAAAGAATCATACAACCCACATCCTATTTTCCATTAATTGGTGGATATAAAACAGTTGTTAAATGATTTCTTATATTTATTAAACCTCGAAACAATCCAAAAATCAGAAGAACGATTTGCTAACTAATGAGCCTTGTTCAACTGTGGTTTTCGATGATTCGAATAGCCGTACGGAGAAACTCGTTCTTCATAGTGAAGATGTGGTCCAGTTGATCTTCCTGTATTCCCACTCTTCGCAATTTGAGCTCCAGCTTTCACATTTTGACCTACTCCGACTAGTTTCTGGCTCAAATGCCCATAGAGTTGACGAATTTTATCGGGTGATTCAATGACAATGTGAGTTCCGTAAGCTGCACCCCAGTTCAAATTTTTCACTATACCACTAGCCGTAGCAAAAACACTTGTTCCAATAGGACATGCATAATCGTCGCCAGTGTGATAACCAGCTGCCCAACTACCCGGCTTACCAAATGGGGTAGTGACTGATCTGCCTATGACAGGCAAATGACCGAAGGCCACCGCACAGACGGCAAGAACTGAAAACAAGAACAGGTTGATCGACATTTCTTTTTCTGAATTCAGCAGAAATGAATGAATACTTAGTATATATATATGATAGATAATAGAGAAATGAAATGAGGGACTACTATATATAATTGATTTTCTTTTATTTCAAGGTTCTCTACCTTTTATTTTTGCGAATAACTATCAATCGATTTAAGTATACACGATAGGGAGCAGAGAATAGAGATGAAGGATTAAAAAGTATAATTGATTTACTTTCCGTCTCAAAATCATCATTTTTTCTTGACAAAATCAAAAAAATGTGTATTTTCTTCTGTATTTTGAGAGTGAGGCAAAGGGCAAACATGATGAGCTATAATTAACAATACCTAAATAAAATGATAAACGATTGTTTTTAAGTATTCTTATTAGAGAAAACAGTTTGCTTTGAAGTCTATGCGATTGAATATTTTCTTATAGACTCATTTAATCAGCCATAGTGAATACTTGAATCATGACTAGAGGTGTCAGCCGTGCGGCTGAGCTGCCGCCGCCGCCAATTACCTCTGAAAAATTAAAGCCGCCGCCGCCGTGGCAGTGGAAATTTTAAGATTTTTTGAGCCGCCGCCGCTGAGGCGCTTTTACTACAGCCGCCGCGCCGCCGATGGAATGCGAAATTTTAAAATTTATTAGCCGCCGCCGCCGATCCCTATTATTGATATCGACAATTTTTATTTTTATTTAAATTTTCATTTTTTAATGAATTTCGATGTTTTTATTCATTTTTCATCTCAATATGATATATAGAGATGCACCAATTCCTAGTACACGATCTGATAGATGACATTTTTGTCTGATGAAGAACACAGTTGTCCGCTGATTCCATAGAGAAGTCAAGATCAGTTTTTTCGCCTTCTCTGAAACCATAGTCGGAATTTATGAAAGATTTTCAAAAATGCTTCGGATNTGCAATAGACAGAGTGTTCTTGTTCACAAAACTAATGCTTTTTTAACCTTCCAGCCGCCGCCGCCACCGGCGGTGACAAAAAATTAAATTTTTAAAGCCGCCGCCGCCGCCGCCGTGCAGCCATAATATTTGAGTCAGCCGCCGCTGAGCTTTAAAAAATAAATCAAAATTTTTAAAGCCGCCGCCGATGAGCACCTCGGCTGACACCTCTAATCATGACATAAACTGATTGAATTCACTAAATGTTTTTGTTAATAAATTACAAGAATTAACCAATTAAACTATGAAAGACATGAATTGTAAAAGAAAACAATTTTCTTTTTAGCTGTTTTCTTATAGACTTCAACGTAAAATTAATTTTAATCAACACTTTGAAAGAACAATAAATATCGAAAAACCTGCTAGAAAGACATGGTATAGTATGAAACAGATGGTAATCTTTGTCAAAATAAGAGATATCGCGTTGCACTAGGAATGTTTTCAGCATAATCGCTAAAATTTCTCGGTTCTACATGAAACTTTTCTTTTAATTAGATTAATATAAATTTTTCACAAAATTATATTCCTTTAATTCGATTTTTAACCAGTTGTTAACATGAGCTGTTGCGGATAAGATCACGGTTCGCTTACAGAATGCTATAGTAATTTAGTCTCTCAGATCTCTCTTGTTGAATCATATGTATCTAATGTGAACCAGTACTCGTGTCTAGTTTTGATCTACTAGTTCGACACTCCATCTAATCAATCTCGTTAGGATCTAAACTGAGTACAATGAAAAAAAGTAGACTCTTCGAATGAATAGAAGCGAACCTAAAGTAATCGGATCAGATGATTACTTTCGTGTCGATACTCGAATAAGCCAATCAACTAAAAGTCCATATTTTATAATGCACTCCAAAGAATGCTGCTTTTCTCTATCCTTCAACTTGATTGAAACATTCTTGAGCAAATAAAATCAGCCCATTTGGTAAATATACATACGTATTAGTATTGGATTTTTTTGCAAAAATAAAAAGGAACAAGTCATTTTAAATGACACTAAACTTATTTTCATATAATAAAAGTACAGTTTTATAGGAATATCTAAAACTATGGGTGCCGAACATTCACGGCGGCATCATCAAGCCGAAACAGTACCAGGTAAAATACTCTAATCGACTTCGAATTCAATGCTTCATCACATAAACCTTGACAATTTGATTGCTAATTACATGCTGAATAAATTTGCTAAGCAAATCTGCTTGTTGCTTATTTGATAATAATTTTTCAATGATAATGATATTGAATTATTTCTATAATTTTAGACAATTTTTCATCATCATTACAGAATTCCGATCTCACACAACGTAAAAAACATCAACGAATGGATCGATTAAGGCGAACGTTAAGTTTTCGTAGTAGAAGAAAAGAAAATTTATCGAATAATAATAACTCGAACACATTACCGAATAAAAATGACAAATCTCTTAATTCAACGAATGAAAACAAGCCATCACAGTGGCAAGATGATGAAAAAGCTGTGCGTATGGATACTTGTAGCTTTAATGTTAAAGTAAAATATAAATAATTTTCAACGTTAAATGAAAAGAACAACAGACAAAACTTTTTCTTTTTCTTTGAAGTATCTTGGTAGCGTTGAAGTACAAGAATCTCGAGGAATGTACGTATGTGAACAAGCTATTCAAGCTTTATTGAATGTATGTATAAGTCAGAGTTTTCTGCTCTTTATAATTAAAATTTATCTTTAACTAGCAAAAAGTTAAACACATAAAAGCAGTGTTACACATATCATGTGATGCTCTTCGTGTTGTTGATCAAACAAATAAGGTTTGTTAATTTATAATATAAATTATGTTTGAATCATTATTGCCAAAAAAACCAAAATAGAAGGGTCTTATTGTTGATCAAACGATTGAAAAAGTATCATTTTGTGCACCAGATCATCGCCATGAAAAAGGTTTCGCTTATATCTGTCGAGATGGTACTACACGTCGATGGCTTTGCCATTGTTTTCTCGCAACTAAAGAGACAGTAGGATAAAAAAAAAACATTTTTGAGTAGATAAATAATATGAAAAAAATTCAAAACTAAAATCTAGGGCGAACGTTTAAGTCATGCTGTTGGTTGTGCGTTTCAAGTATGTCTTGAACGAAAACAAAAACGTGATAGTGAATGTAATGTTACTGTTGAATATACACAAAATGGTACATCATTTACAAAATTTGGTTCATTTCGTACAACATCAATTGCTGAACGTATTATTGATCCTCAAAGTGCTATTGTTGTTGGTTTGTTGTTTATTTTCTGTGTCATTGAAAATAGTTTTTTTTCCCGAATTTTTCATAGAGCCAATTCCATATACATCAACGATTATATCATCTAATCAGAAAAATAATGCTATTGAACGACCTCGACCAAAAGGACATAGTTCTGATGCATTCATTCGTAGTGCTTCAATGCGATTAGATAATCCAAATCAAGCCGTAATCAACTCATTTAAACGACAAAATTCATTGAGACCTAGTGATTTACCATCAATACAAGAATCAAAATATAAAGATTCAATACCAACTACAAGTAAAAGTTTTCTTTTACTATTTAGTTTTCAAGCATTATTATTTGACTTTAGTTCCAGAAGAAGTTGAATCGGCATCATCGATCAATGAACTATCAAAATTATCACTGTACGATTCAACCAATACTTTTAGTAAACTTACTGGTTGGATATCTTGAACTTACTTTTAAGCTTTTCTAATTTTAGCTCATAATCATTTTCCCCTTCCAATAACAAAATCTTCGATCATTCCATTATCATCCAGTGTTAAAAATGAAAATATATCGTCAAATATTTGGCCAACAAATCCACTATCAATCATTCCAGAACAATCTCGACAAGCGAACACAACAACAACGTCAATAAATGATGCATTTGATTCAAATTTATCGGCACTTGTTCAAAGTAACCATCCAATAAATCCATTTTCGCCATATGGCTACTCTGTAGCAGCTCAAGCTCAATCATCAAATGGAAATCGTCAACAACTACCTATATTCACACCGAAACGAGGTTCAAATCCATTCGATGATGATCTTATACGGCGATAAAATATATTCTTAAAATATTTATCGATATTGCATTTTTTGCTATGTCGTCTCTTTTATCTAATGCTTATTATTGTCTTCTATTTTTTTGTTTCCTTTTTAATAATGAATTTTTTTCTTAACAATTGTGATTTACTAATCCGAATTTTTTGCTTGTATCTATCTATCTATCAATATCTATATATATATATATATATTTATATATATATACATGTGTGTGTAATTTCAAATTGAGAAAAAGCAAAGATTAATTTCAACGATTATGACAGCAAAATAAAAATGATTAGTTATCTTTCGTGCGCTTCGTCCTTCTAGAAGGATGAAGCGCAATAGATCTTCCATAATATATTATTTTCATTCTGATTTAACTATGTCTATGGTGATTTCACTTGTACTAAATGTTATGATAACAGTCGTTAATTTTAAAATGATATTTTTTTTAAAGTGACATCGACTGCATTTAACTCTACAAGAAATTAATACCAAGTTTATCGTCATCATTAGAAAGCTACCCAATCACTTTTTGGATTCGCATAGATTCACATGTACCTGAAGAAATATAAAGTAAAAATTCGTTTGTCAATATAAAAGCGGTCATATACACGATTGTTTTCGCTACGAACTTCGGCATTTTATTACTTGACAATCAGTAAATGAGCTAGGCAAGCACGTCAACACATTTTATTTGATCCAGATATTTCTTTACATTCTCGTTTTGCATTCATCGATTTCAGAATGTGAATTTGTTCGATGTGCAAATATATAAAAGAATAGTCAAACCTCAAAATGAAATCTGATAATATTTGATAATTGACGAAACTTGATTCTGATCTATTAAACAAATCAGATGAATACTAAGAAGCAAGATTTCTTTGAATACGTTCATGTTCATATGAAAACAATATGTTAAAGCTCTTACTCGTTTATACTATAGGTCTGTTAGTATTAAGTGAAAATTAGTTTTCGCAATTTATCATCAGAATGCTCGACGTCGTAGTCAACATTTTTATTTTATTTTAAAACAATATCAAGTTGCTGTATTGTTTCATTGACAGTGTGTACCTGACTCGACAAAAGACGAGAGTATACATGCAGAAATCAATAATACAAGCTAAAAATGTAGATCAAGTCAATTAGAAAGAGAAATTTTCCGTAATAACTGCAATCTTGTTCAACATGAATGCCGGGCAAGAATCATTAAACCTATCTGTAATTCAACGAAGAGCTTGATTATCGTATTTCCTCAATAAGAATTGAATGCAAAAAACAAAATATCTGATTTAATCCGTGCGTACTTATCAGTAAAAAAATTGACTCAAGATAAGAGTTGGACGAATAATTTGATCAGTGTCACAAAATATTATCAAGCATATTGATCAATAATGAGTTATTTGAACCTTTTGATATAGGAGTTTCTTTAAAATAATTTCTAGTTGGTAAATCTTTTTAAATTTTATTTAATATGATTGATGAATCCTTTCAAAAGAATAGTCGAGGTTGCAATCACTTGACTTTGTTATTTACTTCACCATCACATGTCACCTTTTTTTTTTCTATAAATTCGAATCTTTTACGATGTGTAGTGTTTGATGTTTCGAAATCATCAAAGAAAAGAGTTTGTTTCTTTGAATTAAAAATAACTGTTATTATATATGAAAATGAGAATTCCATGTAGATAAATGTTCTTGCGTGAGACAGGGGGGGGGGGGGGGGGGGGGGNTTTATTTAGTTTTTCGTTTCTTCTCTAAATCATAAATAAAGAAACAAATCTTTTTATAAACTTATGTGCGTGACAATAATGAAAGAACAAAGAGTTTGACATACAACAACTGATCCGCACAAGGCAAAAGAAGGAATTAATAAACCCAAGACAATGAAGACGTGTATATATATATATATATATATTTGAAGACATATATTAGCAAATTTGAGAGAGAAATGGACAACAACAAAAATAAGAAGAAAAAAAGAAGAAGTTATATCCCTCGAATAATGTTTCATTTTATTCAATCCATTGATTTTTCTGATTTAAATAACTTTACCATTCGGCCTCACCTGTTGCTTTACTAAATACATAATCACGCCCCTCAATATTCATTACACCACTTTTCAATATAAATCGCCATTTACTTTTTATACGTGAAATCTAAAAATAAAAATATAAGGCACAACATTTTTCATTTGGTTATTCAAGTATTGTTTCATACTTTATCGTATTGACATACAACAACATTGTCTGTATCAAACAATTGTGTTGGCTCATCATCACTTACATCGTCATCTGAACAAAGTGGATTAGGATCTTCTTTTCCTTCTTCATTGCCATCTTCATCATCGTCATCATCTAATTCATCTCCAACATCATTCTAAAATATAACATATGATATTGTTGCTTTTGAAACAGCTGTTAATATTAAAGTGTACAAAAGAGCAGTATTCTATGGTAAATTTACTGTGGATAAATTCTTAGTCTTCGGAGAGCGCCTTACGTCTATCAATAGTTGATGCCTGGCGTAGTGTTTAGTTATTTGATACCGTATCAAGTATAAAGATATACAGTTGAACAAAACTATAGAACTATGATTTAAAATAAATGCGAACTTCCCCCCATAAGAGCTACCTCTTAATGATAACGAAAGCTGCCAAGTAGTATGGCGCCATATTGCTTATTGCACAATGCAAACTCTATTTATAAAATAAAGCTTTTCATAGGAATTAATGAAGCTAATTAGGCCTTAATTTCATGCCGCGGGTATTTGTTTTTCTATGTAAATCATGGCGATGGAGAAAAGCTTTTTTGAAATTTTCTCGCAACAATGTAATTTTCAAAGACATTTTAAAGTTGTGTGAAGTTACAATAATCAGTTAGAGTTTTTTTTACACAGATATCAATTTTGATGATAACTGTTGACTCCTACACTTGATAAAAGAGTCTACGATTTTGGAAAATTCCTTACTCCTTCTAATTCGCTTTCATCATCTTCGTCTTCATCGTCGCCAACCTAAATAAAATGAAGATAATCAATCGTGTGAAACGAAAATAAAAGCAAACGAGACAACATACAGGTGGCCCTGTTCCGTCAAGTTGTATTGAAACTTTAATGTATTTTGGTTTTTTCTTTTTCTTGGCACTGTTACCAGAAATAATTTCATCGTTTGCGCCATCTAATTGATTAGATGCTTTCATGGTATTGTTGCCAATGTTTGTTGGATTCTATAGAAAAAAATGAAATTTAAAAAAATAAACTCTAACGTTTCTTGGTTACCGGTGGTCTACTGGGAAAACTAGGTCGAACAAGTTGTGCTGCAGTTGAATTCGTCATCGATAGTAGTCCAGGATTGTGAGCGGCTGTTGCTGCATAAGCCGTATTGAACGTAGATACGGCACTAGTCGATGCTGGATGTAAACGATTAAATTTCACTGCTGATGATTGTTTATTATTCAATGATGAAGCATTGTTTGTTTCACCGGAATTCGGATGTCGATATTCTCGGGTTGTTGCTTGATCAGTAGTTGAGACAGGTAAAGGTTCTAATGCTCTTGAAATTTCTAGTTTTGCTAACCATAACTGTAAACAAAAAATGAAAATATTTTTACTCAATGTTGCCTTTATATGAGAAAAAAAAGTTTTTTTCACGTACAGTTTTAAGTTCTTGTAGTGTATGATCGTCATAGCCTTCTTCTGAGAGTGCTTCACGTACTGCTGTACAAACATCATTAATGATATCTTGATAAATTTTTTTCTAAAAATATACGTTGTGTTGTCTTAATAAAAAAAACAATAAATTTTTGGAGACTCACAACGTCACTAACAGCCATAGTTCGTTCGTTTGAAATTTAATATTTAATAAATTTTTTTCATTAAATTACTATGTATAAATTTTGGTTAGACTCGTTTTTTTAAAATTATATTGAGTCTGACGAAATTTTCCACAGCAGAAATGTTCCTTTTATACTCGTACTTGCCCGTTATATAGGCGCAAGAACTTAGGGTTAAAATTTTCTGCTACAAAGAAGCGCCACATACTATGAAAAATTCTCATTGCTGTAAGCGCTTCATGTAAATGAAAATATTTTCATCACAAAGTTCATTGGTCGAAAACAAAAGTTTTTTCTACATGCGAATCTATCGTTAAATAGAGTAATTGGGCAATTGCAGATTTTCGGATTAGAAAATAAAATTCAGTTGAAAATGTATTGAAAAATATAGTTTACATTTTCTAAGCAAGTCTTTGATCAGATAAAAATTCTTGTTTCTCTATCTATTTGATCAAAAGACATCTGGTAGATTTCGAGATTTTTGCTATTCGTACACAAGATTTATTTATGATCTTTGATGACAGATCATGTACATTGGTAGAATATTTCTTTGTTCGATCTCATTCGTTTTATTTATTTTCATACGACTAAAATGTTTTGAGGACAATGAGAACATTTCGTTTTTTATTTTCTACGTCATAAAAAATAATTTCCTTTTCAGTTTTCTTATGAATTATTTTTATAGGCTGTCTCATCATATGTATTCTTTATTAGGTCTATGTCGTCGTTTGAAACAACATGAATAATTGTTCCATAAGCATTTAAGATAAAGACAAACCTAACGATTCTATCTATTCGTCGATGACGAATTATATGCAGTATTCTAGAAAAATATTTTCTTCTTATTTCTAGATACCATTTTTTTTTGTGTTGCCTTTTTCAAATAATAAAATGGAATCATCAAATGATCTTCGTTCCATGATTGAACAAACACTAACAATGATAATTACGCCAGATCAACAATTAATTGAGAAAGGTCAAACACAATTACAAGCATTAGAATTACTTGATACCTATGCACTTGCTTTAACAGAAATAACTATTGATAATAAACGTGATATCAGTATACGGCAATTAGCGGGTGTTTTACTTCGAAAATATGTTAGCAAACATTGGACAAAAGATATTGAAAATTTTATTGAACCTGAAGTGTCTGAGCAAGTATGTAGATAACTATATTCTATGAAGGGTTGTGATTAACTAAAATGATACTCTTAATTCTTATATTTCTATCTATCTTTCTTGTTTACATCTTAGCAAAATTAATATGTCTTTTCGATTTTTCTTTAAGAGGATATCAAATGTACTTTGTCTTTAACTTTGTTTTTATTATTATTTTTGAAACACTAAGAAATATAGAATCAATAGAGTTTTATAACGAGATATAACAAATGTATTATATTGTTTGCTAACGAAGAAAAAATTTAGTACATGTCATCTATCATACAAAGATAATAATACTTAAGGTCGTCTCAATCTTACGAACTTCATCCTTGTGAAGCAAACAAATTGATACATTGGTTATCCTTTTTTGACTACTTACTTCGTAATAAAATTCTGTTGTGGCTACTTGACATTACTTCAAAATATCTAATCGAAATCAACGAAAGTAAACAAGTTGAATATTAAGCAGTTGAATGTTAATGATGTTTGAGAAATGTCAATCGCCCTAAGATAAACAGCTCTAATGAGTAGTATAATAGATGTACTTGATTATTAAAACCATTGAATTCATCTCCTGACATGTGTCTAGAACTTGTCTGATCCTAAATTCAAACCTGATGTCGTGTTGAACGTTGAGCATTTCAGGTACTACTAATAAACTTCATCGGGTAAAAATTAAGTTATCATTGGTTTTTACTTGAAGGAAAGCGTCCATTGTATCATTTACAGATTTGACTTAGAGAATCAGACAATATTCTTTAGATATAGAATCAGTTCACTCCTTATAGTTTCATGAGAAAATTGAATTTAAGAAAATTTCAGCCCATATCGATATGTCTAATTTAGAAAATATTACACGAAAGATAATAGTTAGAATCTTTAGTAGATGAACATTCGCTTCAGTTTATAATTTACTATTTATTGAATCCTATTTTAGGTAAAAAGCCAGATACGTCATATACTTCCACATGGTTTAAATGAGCCAAATCATCGTCTTCGTGTTGGTCTTGCTTGTGTTATTTCAGGAGTTGCTGAATGGGATTGTCCTGAATCTTGGCCAGAATTATTACCATTTCTAATTGAATCATTGAAATCACCCAATAAATCTTTAATTCACGGTTCTATACGTGTCTTAACTGAAATCGTTCGTGATCTTGATGATCGTCAACTACCCTATGTTGTTCCATTACTGCTACCTGAAATGTACCGTTTAATGGTATCAAATGAATTTAATTTACGTATTCGCACGCGTGCTATTGGAATATTTACACTACTTGTGTCACTTGTACATGATATCAATGAACATGATAGAATAATATCTGTTGGTTATATATTACCATATTTATCACATTATTGTGAAGCATTTAAACGTTTTCTTATTGCACCTGATTCATCACTAATGACTGATACAGGTTGTCGAATCGAAACAATACGTGCATTAACATTATTATTTAAAAGCTTTCCAAAACTAATGCAACAAAATGCAGCAGATTTATTACAATCTGTTTGGACATGTTTAACATCAAATACAGAAAATTATGTTGCTACTGTTGTATATAAACATGGAGAAATGGATGCGTCGGTTGATTCCGATGGTAGGATTTTAACGATAGATTCGATGGTTTTTTGACTTGTTTGTTTTGTTTCCAAACAGGTGAAACATTAAGTTTCGAATGTTTAATTTATAGTTTATTTGAATTCGTTCAAGTATTAATGGATTTATCAACATATAAAAACTCTGTTAAGTCATCGATGGAAGAATTATGTTACTATTTGATATTATGTATGCAGATAACAGAAGAAGAGGTAAAATTTCTTTCTTTTTCCCCGATATCTTAATGTTACTTTTCGAAAGTTTTAGTATGAATCTTGGTCAAAAAATGTTTCACGTTATGTTGAAGACGAAAGTGATGATTCATTTTCACATTCTGTGAGATTATCGGCTTTAGAATTGCTTTTGGTATTTATCGATTTTTCGACTCGCTTAATTATTTGATTGTTTTTTATGTCTAGTCAATAACAAGTGAATTTAAAAAAGAAGCAGGAATCGGTCTCTGGAAAGCTGTGCAGTAAGTTTAAATGATGAAAATTTTTAAGCGACACATCACTTGCCCATGTTCATGTGAAAGTTAAAGATAAGATAGATGTAAAATGTAAAATAAATAACTGAGTAACCACGATGAGTAGTGACTTAAAATTATTTGCAAAAAAAAGGATGAAAACTTCTAACCTGTTTGGACCTGATACTATATTAGATAAAATCGTTTTTGAAACCGTTTCTTATATTGAACCAACAGAATTGTCCAAGATGATGAATTTCTCTCGAACGATTTGCTGAAAACTGCAGCTCTCTACCTGTTGTTGTCATTGAATTATTCGCGTTACACTCGTTCATCTATTATGCTGGTATGAACATTGAATGGTAATGTTTTCTTGTTACAGCTTATCATTTATATTGTTCGCGTCAAGTATTTCATTTTGTTGTCATTATACTAAGTTATTACGCATGATATCTGATTGTATTTGTCTATTTCATAACATCAGGAGACAAAAAACATCGTATATCGGCTGACCTTTCAAGATGTCATATACTAGGTTTCTAGCTTTCACTTATATTGTTTCTACGTTAAACATATGGTTATGTAAGCTAAAAAAGATTTCCTTATCTTATGAAATGGGACTGTATGGTACGTAAGTTCTAATGAGTTTTTAATATTTAGAAATAGAAAGTTTTTACTTGCTCAAAATCTACCTATGTAAATTTACGATAATTCTCAAGTAAATATCGTAGACCCTATCATAAACATTTGAAAAGAAAACTATTTTGAATTACCACTTGAAACTTAGCACGGAGACATAGCTACATATTTGGAAATGAAAACATTGAATCGACCGGTTAATATGAATGATATCTAATCATAATTTTATACTAGAATAGGATTGTCTCTTGAGAAAGTGTCATGTCAAACTTCAAAAGCCAGATACTCTGATATTTTCGAGGATGACAACAGTATTTTGTTAAAAATGCTGATATTTCTCTAGTATATAAATAAGTTAGTCTTTCAAAATTGATAAATAATTAGACTCAAATTCATGTTTATATGAATATATTTATAATGGCTAGTATATTTCCTAACAATGAAGGTGTCTGTATTGTAAGTTGAAAAGACTAGATATTTTTACATCAAAAAAGAAAGCTATCACCGCCAAAATTAACAAGGTTAAAATGTTAGCTCCCCTTGGCTTGTCTAGACGGAGATATTTGATTTTTCAGTGAATTTTCTCTACGGGATCGGCTTTCCTATCAATCAGAAGTTTTGGACAAACTCTCTTCGAGATATAGATGTCTCAAACATGCAGCTTCTATAGAAAATCGCCAATATTTTGAGAGATTCATATCTCGAAGAGGGTTTGTTCAAAGCTTCTGATTGATTTTCCCCATAAGTTAGTCTCATTGAGACCTTCATGCATACAAAGTTTTAGGTCTAAATTCGAAAATATGATATTGCTGGGAAAGTCGGTCCTGTAGAGAAAATTCACTGAAAAATCAAATATCTCCGTCTAGACAAACCAAGGGGAGCTAATATTGTAGCCTTGTTAATTTGGCGGTGATCGCTTTCTTTTGATGTAAAAATATCTAGTCTTTTCAACTTACAATACAAACACCTCCATTGTAAGGAAAAAATAGTAAAAATTTTAACAACGAGTTCTCTAATTTAAGATGTGTTTCTTTTTCAGTCGCCATCTATCTCATGCTGAGGCATTAAAAGCTCACAATTCATCTCGATGGTAAGTTAATTTTTTTGCTGTTGGACAATTACATTTATAAATCTCAATTTTAAACTCTAGGTGGAAACTACATGAAGCTTGTCTCTTAGCAATGGGCCGATGTAAACAATTGTTAAATGATATGTTAGTTACTGGTTATGTTAAAATTGATCTTGAGGCTTTCATTCGACAAGTACCATTAGCTGATTTATCTCAATTCGGTAAAGTAAAATGCCGAAACATATATCTATCTAACTCAGCTCTATTTTAGATTATCCATATCTTGTATGTCAAGCAGCTTTATTTGCTGGCCGTTTTTCACGCTTGCTAAGCGCAGAAGTAAATCGAATGTAAGTTAGATACTGTTTTTTTTATTTGATTCATTATTATACTAAATTTTCCTTTTAAAGATTCTTAGATGGAATCTGTCAATTACTAGAGCATGCTCAACATCCAATTATAAACTTGTCATCATTAAGAGCATTCTATTAGTAAGTTAAAACAAACTTATCAGATAAATTGAAAAAACTTGAATTGCTCAGTTATTGCGAAGAAGTTGGTGTCGATCAAACAAATGATGTTGTTCATTATCTACCACGTATATTCGAAGGTATACTTGCGACGATGAGTCGTATACCACAATCAGCGTACATATGGCCATTAGAATCATTAGCTATATTAATTAGTGTTGATGAAACGTTTGTATCGACTATTGAACATCGTTTATCACCGTTAGCTATTGAATTATTTGTTAATTACGTACAAGATCCATTGATTAATGGCGAAACAACAGCGTAAATATATACATATATATGAAAAGAATTCGTTCAGTAAAATACTTTAATCGAATTCAATTTTCTACTTTAGAATAATAAAAGGTCTTGTACATAATAGTAAAGTATCAAGTTTAATTCAAGAGCGACTGATTCCATTACTTCAATCAATAGTTGATAATAATTCTGTGCCATCAACGTTACCACGTGTAGCACCAAGCCTTGCATTTTCAGTTATTGATCTTTTAACAACTGTTCTTCGTTCATTGAATCCTCCAATAAACTCAAATTTATTAAATCAAACATTTCCTGTCGTTATACATGTACTTTTGACAAGTGATGATCAACAACTTTTAATTAATGGTGGTGAATGTTTATGTGCATTTTTATCATGCGTATCCATTGATTTATTTTCATGGAAAGATTCAAAAACCAATGTATCCAGTATTGAATATATTTTACAAGTGCTTGCGAAGTTTCTTGATCCAAAAACACCAGAAAATTGCTGTACTTTTATTGGGAAACTAATCCGAGGCTTTATTAGAGAGATTAATAAAACAAATCAACCAAGTTTACTCGGCGATACGTTAGGACAAATACTTAAAGCTGTATTAGCAAAACTTCAAAGTAAGATTCAGAAAAAAAATAAAAAAATAAAAAGCATGCTTATGGTTGCAAAGAGTCCTCGATAATTTCTTTTCTCGTAATGCTTGTTTTTCGATAGAGTCAGATAAATGAGTTACGAATGATGTAACATTATTTTGTTTTTTCAAAATAATGTGATAACTCGACAATTTTGTTGTTAGAAGAGAAGAAAAGTCTCTTACAATTTTATGTATAATTAGAGACAAGAAGCGTATTTTATTTGTTCGTTCTATTATTGAATTTCAAAGTTAAAAGGAACATCACGAGAGAGCATAGCCTAAATGATGCGAGCCGTCGAGGGACATCAAGATACAAATAAGAAAAGATTTCGAAACAATTAGTTTTCAATCAAATTATGTTACAAAATATAGGTTTAAAAAATTTGATTAAATCAGTTCTACATTAGATGAAAAGAAATCAATGACTGCATCACAGATTGAGTTCGCTTTTTTTTTAAAATAGATTTCTGATTTCTTTGAGGTAACATAATAACACATATAATCATGTTTATATGAAGAAAAACAAACATATTGAGAGATATTTTTAACAAAAAGTATGGTATATATTGCTAAATACAAGTATTTTTGCTAATTATATCTCTTTTTACATGTTCGATGTATCAAACCTACCTAACCAAGAATGCAGCTGATGGATTTTCTTGCTTCAAAAGTTGAAATTTGCATGCAATTAGAATAGGATATGTGGAAAACAAATGGAAGCCGTTTTGTACCAAGCGACTATCCTGAAAAGATTGAGACAAATCGTATTAAGTTTTGACTTCATCGAAAACACAATTAAAGTTCATTGGAGCATTTCAATAATTGTTGATTGTGTTTCGATTGATATGTAACATCTAGTGTTTACAGTTTATGCAAGTTTCTTATTCATGTCCACATAAACCTATGCTATCGATTAGAAAACATGTGACGAGCTTAAAGTATAACATTATTTCTTATTTAGACAGACGATCAGATTTATTAGTACTCGTATTGACATACGTAATAAATTTTCTTGAAATACAGACTATTACTAATCGATTTGATAAATGTGGAACAGGAGATTCGATATATTATGGAATTAAAAAAGCATGAATTTATTCAAGTTTACACATTCTATTAGTTACTTTGACATCAATAGTACATTTAATCTTTGTCGCAAAACCGGAAACTTGAATTTTTTTTTCTTGACCGATTCAAATTTCCAAATATTTAGGTTCACAAGTGCTGAGTGTACAACAAAGTTTAATCGTTGTATTTGCGCATTTGATTCAAAATAATTTGAATGATGTTGTTAATTTCCTTACGTCAACGCCTGGGCCACAAGGAAGCAGTGCGTTTGATTTTGTTATGTATGAATGGGTCACCAAACAACATCTGTTTTCTGGTCCATACGATATTAAAGTCAGGTAGAAGCTTTTTTTAGTTTTTTTAAGAATAAAAATATTAAAAAAGAAAATTTCTCTCAGTATTATTGCATTAACTGGCTTATTAGAATACGCTATGACAAACAATGATGTACGATTTCAAACATTAGTTGTTCCAGGTGATCAAATCATTTATCACCAATCAGGTCAATCGATTTCACATCGTACACGTTCAAAATCTTCTAAACATCCTGAGCAATGGACGCGTGTACCATTAGTAGTAAAACTTTTTAAAATTCTTGTACTTGAATTACAAAATCAAATTAATACACGTAAAGAACTTGAAGAAGATGTTAATTTTGATGATGATGAAGACGATGATGATGAGGAGGAAGGCAATGAAGATGGCAAGGAAGAAAAAGATGGCGAACCAATAAATGAATCAAATTCATTAAAAGCGAGTGATGATGAAGCAACAAAATATTTAGAACGTTATGATAATTTACTTGATGATGTTTTTGATTATGAATTTTTTCAAGAAAAAGATCCTGACGCATTCAATGATCCATTGATGCAAGTTGATTTACTTGATTATTTAAAAGAACGCTTACATTTATTTGCAAAGCATTCATGGTTTTCTATATTTCAGCAACATTTAAACGTAATTGAACGTAATGCACTACAAAAAATCTCTCTACTTCCATAAAACAATTTAGAAATGAAAGAAAAGAAAATTAAACAGTGAGTTTCATCATTCCAGCTTTCTTTTTCACTCATTTTTGTATTTTTGTAAATAATTAAAAAATAGATTTGAATTTATTAGGGATTTCTTTGTCTTTTATTTAATTTTTTTTCATAGGGAAAATATAAGAATAGAAGCGATTTAGAAGTAAATATAAGAGTTCAGCGATTTCAACGAGACTGATTAAGCTGACACCAATCCATAAACCTAAACAAAGAAATAATTTGAATACATAGAGATAAAGAAAAATTCAAACTTGTTTGTCCACCAATACTCGATATCAGATCAACCCATGTATACATGGGAGATTCTGTGAGAATTTCCGTTGGATCTGAACTAGCCGAAATTTCGACAGCTACAATATTATCACGTATACCCATATAAACATTAGCGAGTTGTGTACCAGATAAAGACTCATTATTTGTTTTATCGCGAATAAAATGTTGTTGAACACGTTTCGAAACGTGTCTGTTGGCCTTCATGTTTGGATAGTGTGCATACGATGATTGAACTGAATATTGAATAAATTCACATTCAGGCAAACATTCTTGACATGATTCACTTGAATCTTAAAAAAAGAATTCGTAGTTTTTTATTGTTTTTTTCTCTCAGTTAGTACTCACTAAAATGAATACGCTCATTAAGACACGGTTCACCCATTGAACATATACTACTTTTTCTTGTTGTATGCGCGTTATTAGTATTTTTATCATTAAAAAATTGATAAAAAACAGCTAGTGTTCGTTCTACACAGTGACATCGCTGTTCGAGATAACGTTTTTCACATAATTTATAGCATAATGCTTGCGTATAACGTATATTATGTGTACGAAATATATTTTTCATTTCATCAGTTAATTCAGTTCGACATTGCCGTGAAAATGATTTGATACTTTGTGAAAAACTAAGTTTTGTATATTTGTTTGGTGCTAAGAAAAGACTATTTTGCGATAGTACAGGTAGTTCATTTTTTCGATGAATAAATATTCGAAATGATGCTCGATTTTCAAAATATTCATTATATTGCATTTGATGAAGAAATAATTCGAGAAATAGTTTATAATTATCTTGCCCATTGTCATCATCAACGGACCAATCATGACGTATATCACTTAGTTCTTGGTCTTCGACATCATGATCGTTATCAAAAGTATAACAATTTCCATAATCTGGATGGTATAACTGTGTTAAATTTCGATGACAACGCCGCTTATTAAATATGCATCTTATAAGAAGATCATTTAATTTAAAACCCCACTTAACAAACGGATCTACTTCACCGTTAACATGAGCCATAAGAATTCGATTGACATAATCTGAAACAGCTTTCCGATATTCTGTTTCGTTCACGCGCGAAGATGGATCACCACCTGGTAATATAGATTTTCTTATATCATCATTAAAGCCATCGTGTTGAAGAGGATTGATATTACCTAGAATAGACAGTTATTATTTTTTTCGTACAGTAATTTGGCCCCTTTGTGTTTCAAAAGAATCTTCTTACAGAAAGTAATGGCTGGAAAATGAGCAGGATCTCGGTAGTGTTTTATGCTTAGATGAATTTTCATCGGATTTGTAATATGATTCATGCTAATCGTATAAATGAAAGTACACATTAATACTGTAAATATCCAAAATGTATATGCCCAAAAAAGTCGTGTCTTTAATGTTTTCGCTCTGCTTATTGGTCGAATTCCATGTGAAGGTGCATTGAAAAGCCATGTTTTGACGATCTCTGTTGTAGTTTTAGATGAAGACATGCTCACTGAACAATGAACTGATCAAACGGTGATATTTTAAGGAAGTTTTATCATCAATCATCGTCCTATTTTTTTTTTTTTTGTTAAATTAATTTAATAGAACTGCAGCAAACTTGACATTTTTTTTCAGATATCATTTGATTTATTATTAGAGAAAACAAAATGCCTGAGATTCGTTTTCAAGCTCCAGTTGTTATTGATAATAAAGATGGTTGGGGACCAACAGAAGACACGTTTCAATACAAAGACATGCCTTATCAACCTTATTCTAAAGGTGATCAATTAGGCAAAGTATGACATATTTACTATTTTATTTTTTCTGTGATTTAATCTTTATGTATACATATATTAGATTGCTGATTGGACGGGAACTATCTATGGCGATAAACGAAACTATAGTAAAGCGAATAAGAAAAGAAGACAAATATTTAAAATGAAATTCATTTTTTTCATAGATCGATATCGTTCACAATTCGGCGTCGGTGTTGGAATGTATCAGTATATTCATGAAGATGATGAAAATACATTTCAACTTGTTGATTCAACGCGATTACCTAAGCCGGCTTATCAAAAACGAACACGTTTTCAACAAAACGTAACAATACTATATTAATAATTTCATCGAAGAACTTCTTATTTTCTAGCGTTTTCGTCAACAACAAAATCAAAATAATCGTTTTGGACAAATGCAAAAAACATTTGCAGGACCACAGAAAAAATCTAAAACGATGAAAAATTTAGAAATGTAATCTATTTATTTTGATATTCGTATTGTAGTCAACGAATTCTAGGGATCAACTGCGACAAATGCGAAAATGGCAAAAACAATTTGGTAATCGAACTGATCCACGGCAACATGTAAGCTAAACATCATATTGTTTATATAGAAATTCTGCTTAGTTTTTCGTGGAAACTGATTAAGAAGCTGTCAATGAACAATTTTAGATGAAAAAGTTTTGTTTGCAAGGACAACTTTTTTTAATTATTTGTTTCATAAGATTTTTAAATGAAACTACTGGTAGACAAGTAGAAGATAAAATCTCTATTAGAAACATTTTCAATTTTTTAGTCTTCAATTGTTTTGTGGTTTGAATATAAGTTAAATAATTTCAAATTATTCATCTCCTAAAATTTGAGCAAAAGTTCCTTTTTAATGAGCTGGTTTTTCTTGCCAATTGTTAATTAATCGTTCTTTATTATTCAGAATAAATTTAGCATTTTATGGTCGACTGGAGTTTTCTTTTTTTGCTTTGATAAGCATCGTAGTATAAAATATGTAAAATATTGTACAATAAAATGCATATCATATTTTTCTTTATTTTGAAAAGCAACAAGCTAAACAACGTGAACCATCTGTACGTGTACGAGAAGATTGGCAAGTTATTGAAGAAATACCGTTTACTAGTCTTTCTAAATTAAGTTTACCAAGTATTAGTGAACCTCATGAATTGTAAGTCAATATTTATCAATAGAATGAAATCTTAATGAAAACCTATAGGAGTGTCTGGGGTTCACTTGAATATTATGATAAACGGTATGATCGAATATCAACAAAAAGTGAAAAGAAATTAACTATGATTAATCGTTTAATACATAAAATAACTACAACGAAAGATCCAGTCATTCGACAAGTAAATGAAAAAAATTATTGTTGCTTTTATTTTTGTTCCACGAAATATGATTTATTAATTAGATTTGTAAAACACACGGAAATGTTTTTGCTACGGATGCAATCATCTCAACATTAATGTGCTGTACAAGATCTGTTTACCCGTGGGATATTGTTGTTGATGTAAAACTCAAATGATTTGTTTTTCTATAAATTAATATATACATGTTTGTTTGTTTGTTTTCGTAAATTAGAAATTTGGTGCGCGTCTATTTTTCGATAAACGAGAAGACTCAACCATCGGTAAGTAAAATCATGCGTAGATTTAAAATAACGTTTTACTATAATTAGATATGTTAACGGTCAATGAAACTGCAAATGAACCACCACCAGAAGATGGTACAATGGATTCAGCAAAAAACTTAGGAATGGAGGCAGTTTTTATTAATCATAATTTTGCCCAACAAGTTCTTAAAACGGTATTTAAATTCCTATTAAATGAATAAATCCAGCTACGTATTCATGCTTTTTTTTCTTTTTGCAGAATGAAGAACGATATAAGTTTCCTAATCCTAATCCATTTATTCAACCGGATGAAGAAAACGAAGCTGCATCAGTTGCTTATCGCTATCGTTCATGGGACTTAGGCAATAATCAAACAATCGTTATTCGTTGTGAACAAGATTGTGTTCAAACTGGACCCAATGGCGAAGATCAATTTGTCAGCATTAAAGCAATTAATGAATGGAATCCGAAGGTATTTAAATAGAAAACGAAAGTAACATAACTAGTATATTATAGTTGGAAGTGAAAACGGAAATCCTTAGAACTGTGACTATATCTGCAGAGAAAATAAAGATCCGCTTAATCCAAAATCTTTCGAAGTTGCTAGAACCCTTCATTAAATAGATTTCCATGGCTTGGGACAAGGGCTAAATTCTGACTGATTATAAGATAAAGGGAAATCTACAGGGATTGAGTGAACACTTTTGAAATTAAATATCTTCATATTAGTCGATCAATGGATTAATAGAGAGAGTGAACATTGCGTTCTAAAGCAGTTTTTAGCATGACAATGTAGCCTCTCCGTAAGGAATTCTTGTATCATAAATACTCTGTGAAGTTTTCATGAAGAATGGTGATTTCCGTCGACATCACAACACCGAATTTTATACGATCGATTACGAACAGAATTTAGTCATATTCTGGATAGATGAATTAATTGTGCAACTGTTTCCATCCAAACTGTATGTTCAATCTTGCAAAGTTGTCCTTCTAAGTTTACAACCTATGATTTGTACGAATGTTTTGAAACGAAATTAAAAACTCGTATTGCTCAAAAGCTATGTTGACTTTCTCGATTGGGGAAAACACGCAAAATCATTTTGCATCAAAAACTGCTGCTTCCCTTCTATGCTAGTTTTGATTAAACAAAAAACGATATATTTAGATTGGCAGTGGTCTTGATTGGCGAACCAAATTGGATATGCAACGTGGTGCAGTTTTAGCAGCTGAATTACGTAACAACGGATTTAAATTAGCTAAATGGGCAACATGTGCCATTTTGGCTGGGTCCGATCAAATGAAATTCGGTTATGTATCTCGACAAAACTTCAAAGATGCATCGCGTCACACGATACTTGGCATGCAAAATTTTAAACCACAAGAGTTTGCAACACAAATGGCTTTAAATACGGACAATGGCTGGGGTATTGTACGAGGTAAGTTGATGAAAAAGAAACAAAAGAAACGAAAAATTAAAACATTGAACTATTTAAGTATTGGTCGACTTTTTCATGAATAAACCTGATGGACGATATTTGATCACGAAAGATCCAATGAAGGTAAAAACGATATTTATTTTAAATTTTGTTAATTTATCGTGCATTTTTCTTTTTCTTCTTAGCCGGTTCTTCGAGTAAGAATATTTTTATTTGATAAAAACAGTATTCGTATATACATTTGAAAATTTTTTATATTTTAATAGATCTACAGCATACCGGAGAATTCATTCGATAGCGAAGAAGAAGCAAGCGATGATGAAAATGATCAACCAGGAACAGAGCAACAACAAAAATAAAAGCAAGATTTTATTATTACTATTATTGTTACATGTTATTTGTTGTGACGCTTATTTAAAGTTCTAAAAAAAAAGAAAAATAGAGTAAAACATCTTGTTTATTTTTCAATTTGTTTTCGTTTATATTCAATCAATGATGGATTGCATGATTTTCAAACATTTACATGAGATAAAATGGTTTCATATTTTCCTTAAGCCGATGCAGCTCATGAGACAGAATATTATCAAGAGCATCATTTCCCACTAGGATAACTATCATTTATAAGCAGCAATTGCTTTTATTAAGAAAAATACAAGCATTTTACTTCAGATTTCGTGATCACGCCTTGAAGCCGATAGCAGAGTGTGTAGACCGAGTTGATAGTATCGATTGAATATTCTGTACAGAAGTCAAACAGTCGTCATTAGAAACATACTACTAAAAGAGATTATTACTGATTATATCTGGTTTTGTACCATATTTATGTCAGTATGAGAATAATTGGGAAGAAAAATTCCTTTTGATACTGATTTTTCCACTGTTTTCATATGCGTACATTAGAGGATGGATATATATTCTTTATTTTGAAAATATAAAAAAAAAGAATTCATTGGATGAAGTGATACGCGAATAAGTTGCGTTTAATAGAATTTCAAATTTCATTAAATAATTTGCAAGGATTTTCCATACAATTCATGCCCAGCATGTTAAATAACTTTTACCCTACGTAGAACAGAAAATTGACGATACTCGTCCTATCTTATGGAGAACTCTGATGTGCATGTTGAAAAATAAAAATACACACGTATGGTCATGCAAGTCACCAGTTTGTATGAGATTGTTTTGTTTGTTTATAGATTTTTTTTCTTAAATAATTTTAGATTAGTAATGAAGAAAAAAAAGGGCTAGTGTATCTAGATTTCTTTATAATTTTTATTTGAGTCTTAAATCTTTCAAACAATGGCCGTTGACGTCGACGACGAGTTACCTGATCGAGAAAGTGGTATGATTCAGATTTATAAAAGAAAAAAAAAGAAAAATTCTAATAATCATTTATTTTTATGTTAATAAGCTCGACAATTCTATCAAAAATATGAGCCTAAAGAAGTACTTGGTAAAGGCTTGTCGTCGGTTGTACGTAAATGTGTTGAAAAAGCTACCGGTAAAGAATATGCATGTAAAATCATGGAATTTAATGATGACAGTGATGATGAACATGCTGCAACATTACGTGAAATTCGAATACTTAAATTAGTTGGTGGTCATCCAAATATTATCGATATCGTTGCTTCATTTGAAACACCGAACTATGTATTTATTGTCATGGAACTTTGTCCATATGGAGAACTTTTCGATTATTTAACAAAAGTTGTTCGATTATCAGGTATAATCATTTTGTTTTGCATAAATTAGGAAAATTTCTTTTCTGTCATTTATAGAAAAGCGCACTCGTCAAATAATGTCGAGTATATTAGATGGTGTTCATCATCTACATTCTTATCGTGTTGTTCATCGAGATTTAAAACCCGAAAAGTAAGATAAATGAAAAATAATCATTGAATTTTGTTGTTTTCGTTTTCTTCTAGTATTTTAATGGATTCAACAATGAATGTGAAAATAACGGATCTTGGCTTTGCTGCTCAAATAGAGGATAATCAATCTTTATATGATCTGTTTGGCACACCCGGTAAATAATTATTTCCAATGAAAATTTTCTAACGTAGCCGAAACGTATTGATCATGTTTAATTCGTGTCCGCGTTGATTCGATTTAGAGTGAATTCAAAAAATATAATATCATGATATTTTTGCATATGATTCATTGTTTTCACTGTATTTCATTCTAATAACCAGAATTCTTTTCAGCAATTCTTAATAGAATGTATGCTTTGCTCCTATATTTGTGAAAATATATTTTGTAAGAAACAAAGTCAAATGTTAGCTGAAAGTTTTATTAGTACTTTGATATATAATCATTCTTACTTGTAAAAATGAATACTCCTATTAGATCATGTTTTATTGGCGATTTTAACGTCTCTTTGAAGGTTACATGGCTCCTGAGTTGCTTCGTTGTTCACAGTCGGAAGATGGGCCTGGTTATGGTTTGCCTGTAGACTTATGGGCTTGTGGAGTTATTTTATATACACTATTGAGTGGTTTACCGCCATTTTGGCATCGGAAACAACATTTAATGTTTCGCATGATTATGGAAGGACAGTACACAATGACGGGCTCAGAATGGGACGATGTATCTGAAACAGCAAAAGATTTAATTCGTCATTTGTTAGTTGTTAATCCGGCTGATCGTTATACAGCTGAACAAGCACTTCAACATCCATTTTTTATTAGCGAAAAAACGCGTCGAAAAGATTTTATGGCTAAAAGAACACTTAAAGCACATATTATTCTCGTTTGGTCAATCTATCGTTTAAGAACATTACATTATAGACCACAACCTATTCGAGGAAAAGATTTACTAGGTATATCAATGAGACTTTTATTTTCTATCTAGAAAATCTCTATCTTCTCTTTTCACAGAAAATCCATATCGATTTAAATCTTATCGTAAGCTGATTGATTCAACGGCATTTCTTCTCTATGGACATTGGATTAAAAAAGATGAACATAGAAATCAAAATCGTGCCACGTTGTTTCAAACCGAAGAAAAATGTGATCTGGTTCGACACGAACAACGAATTCAGAATGCACAAAGCTGAAATAAAATAAAATAAATGTAATATTAGTTCGGTTCAAAATTATGCTTTTTATTTTTGTTTTCACATATCGGCTTGTAGTTAGAGTAAAAACTAGAATAAAACCTGTGTTGTTGTTGTTGTTCACCTTAATATATATATATATATATTCATTTTTTTCCTTTTATTTTCACTAAATACGTCAATTCGACAAACTTTTTTAACAAATATTTATTTTAAAACAGTTGAATAAACAGAGAAAGAACATTACATTCCTCTTTTTCTATTACTTTTCTTTTATTTCGCTGACAATTGAATATATAGCATATGATGCATAAAAACAAAGGAATTGATGATTTTATTGTTTTTGAGAATATTAGACTGTGTGGAAAATGCTCTTTTCGGCAGAGGAATGCATAAAGAAGAAGATTTTTTACGAGGAAAATGTGAACCTATTAATTAAAAGTAATTCGTTCTTCTTATCAAAAATAGAAACAAACGAAACAGAGTTATAAACATCCATGCCTTATATCTTGTTGGCCAGAAATGTTTCAATCGTCAGAAATTGTTGAGAAACATAACACAAGGATTGACCAACAATGTTCTATTCATTGATAGATAAATATAGACTATCATTTAAGCGATCAGTAGAATAATTGAAATGATCAGCACATTGCTTGTGTGGTCAGTCATTAATTCACTTCGATTTATTGATATGTTTAAAAATCAGTAAATTAGATTAAAGGGTCAGTATAAAAATTGAAATGTGTTATAAGGAGATTTACTTTTTTTACATGTTTGTTCTTTTGGTCTATATATCGTACAGATGATAAGTACAACAGATATAAATGTACTCTTACTTAGCTCCCTTCTTTCACATTCAGCTTAGCACCAACGAGTAAAAAGGATAGAAGTCGTACAAGTTGTTCAATATGAAAGTGATATATCAGACAAAGAGGTTCTGGAAGGAAATGATGGAATAAATGGAAATCAAAGAATTCCAAAAACGGGTGTAGGGTAGTGTAGATGAGCAGAAGAATCACATCCACACCCAAATTTCTATGTTTTACTGATCAATTTTATCTTTTTTTGCTGGTAATTATATATAACAAACTGATCACTTTAAGATTAATTACTGATCATTTTAGTATTGATCATTCATATTCTTTTTTACTGATTATTTCATTTATTTGACTGACCAAATATAATGTTCCCATAAATATATGCAAGAAAACACACGTTATTTTTTCAGAACTGTCAGTCATTTTCTAAAAATTTTGAATTTATACAAAATGATGTGAAGCAGAAAACTAAACTATTTGTTTTTCTACGAACCAACAACGAAAAATATTATCAGCAGCTCAAATAACTGCTCATTTGAAAAGGTAGTACATTTCGTGTGTATCTTGAAGTATGATATTGAATTGCATAGACTTTCATACGTGAGCAAAAAAAAGAGTAAGACCATTATTCTTCTAAATAAATTACAAAAAGCATTCAAACATAAATTTTAATCAAAATCATTTTGACATATTTTTTTACGGTATGATCAAACACCCGATCAGTAGACTGGAAACAACCTACCAAGTTTGAAAAACTTTACTTTTGAGTGCAGTTGAAACGTTCTATCATTTTAATATTCGTCAGTTTCCAAAAAAATCTTGATATCCCTCAAAAGTTACGAATTGGCCATTGCAATCATTAAACAATTCTCGAATCATGAGGAATTCGGTACATTCCTGTATGAGATGAAAGCTGTTCAACGTACAATTTGCATACTATTAATGAAAGAGAAAAGACTGTTATGAAAATTATTTCCACTGGAGCGAAAAGAACGTTAGAAAATATTTTTTCATGCATTGTCACAATATGTGTATTCCTTTTAATGTTTTATTGAATAAGAAAAATAAAACAATGTTATTCCCGATATGTGAAATGTAGGTCTATGTTCGTTTTGTCAGATCTCATTAAAAAACTCTTTGAACACATTTTCTTCTATTGCCTACAATATCATCTCAATGAAGAAAACAAATCATGCTTACCAGCATTAATATGCGCGATGCTTGATGTTATGATCATAGAAGTTTATGCTACAGACTAGTAATTTCATGAATACCTATCATAGATGGTTAGTATCGCTCGACATCACTATGCCATAATATTTTTCTACTATTGTTGTGGTAAAACGCCACAAAATGAAATCGTCTTTTTCTAAAAACGTAGCTTGACTTATGTACGCTACCGTTCAGTATCAGATTCGCCTGAAAATTCTACCGGAGTCGCAGGTCGGTCTATGTCAAATTACAAATTGAGAGGATCTGTGAGAAATACAATTGATATCTTCATACTTTAATGTTCTTCAAACTGTATGAATTGTAAGAGTCATATAATCAATCGAACACCACGTGTTTTACTTCCTTTATTCAATGTGTTCTGAGAGCTATGCTTTTTCTTGTCGAAAAACAAAATGCTTTCAAACATTGATTTGATAAACATATGTACTCATTAAAACATGACAATAGTTGGATATATTCTCTTGTTGTACAAGATAGATCTTTGTGATACTTCAATTGACTCCATTATGACTACAGCCATGAAATATGATCATAGAAAAAAACACTGGAATAATTCTTAGTTTCTTAATAACGAAGGACGACGTCTAGGCGCAGTCAGTCGCCATATTTTTTGTCCAAATACACCTTGCTGCATTTTTATATTCGACATGAAATCAGCATTCTTATCCAATTTTTCAGAATTTGTAAAAAACCAACCACGTTTGTCTCTTGAAAATTTCATGGAATCTAATAATCAAATGAAAACGTGCTACTGTTAGAAATATTATCTGGGTCGCTTACTTTTTGTTTTTTCAACCGAATGAAATTGTTTTTCTGCTGACTGCATATTATCTTTATTAAAAATTGATTGCCCATGTAAATTAATTGCTTTATCAATCGATGGCTGGCGGTGAATAAGCGGGAAAATAGTTGCGATTAGATCAGACTTGATGAAAATATCATCAACATATTGCTGTTCACTATTCTCAAATGTAGAACTCGCAGCTATGTGAATACGAATAGCAAATAGCAGTTAATTCAAACAATAGTACTTACGAATAATAATGAATATCAAAATAATAATAATAAGAAAACGGATAGCATGATTGATAAACATCCTAAGGCATTAAAAATTTTGTCGCTATTGGAAATTAGATAACATTCAGTATAAAATATGTCATATTTATATACTTTCAGACGGTATATTTTTTATGAGGAATTTCACTTGAAAAATTTAGATGCTCTACTGTTGCAGTAGAATTTGAATGGCAAACATTTTTTTCGAAAATTTTTGAACGCCCACAAGTATGAAATTTTTCTTTCTATGTCAGAACATAGCTCATTATTATAGAAATATCAATAGAAGATGTGAGTACTTTTGAATTAGATATATTTCCGTTTAATAGAAAGGAGAATACTTTCGTAGACGGCTTGTCCACGTAACTCGCTACTTCGCTGATCAAGTTTTTAAAAAATTTATTTTCGATATGGACATATCTAAGCGTATTATCTGGTGCACTTTTTTACGCTGATTATGAATTTGAACTTACGGCTTGTCCACGTAACTCGCTACTTCGCTGATCAAGTTTTTAAAAAAATTATTTTCGATATGGACATATCTAAGCGTATTATCTGGTGCACTTTTTTACGCTGATTATGAATTTGAGCTTTTTTCTTAAAAAAATTGAGTTTTGGCATCGAAAACCGCGTTTTAAAGTTTTCAGAAATTGTATTTTCAATTTTCTAACCAAGAAATTTGAAACAAAAATGCAGACTGATATACCATTCGACGCAGAATTTGATTCTCTACAAAATGGCCTATTTAGTTTTTACTCTCATTCCTCAGGACAACTTCTAAGCTCTTGTGCAGTTTCTAACTTGCTGTACAATTATTGGGCTCCTATTCAACGTAGCAACTTGAGTTTTTTACAGAAGGATATATGTATGGTAGTGATCAACATATATAAATATTAAATATTTTTAAGCATGTTAAGTGCTTCGAATTCGGTCGACAAAAAAACGTGTCACAGCGTTACGTTTGTTTTTTGCATTTTTAATCTGAGCGAAAATAGTTTAGAAAAAATATTTTTTACTGATTGAAAGCCCATTCAATTCTCTACAAAACTGGTACCATAAGCATTCAATTTGAAGAAATAATTTGTCAAAAATGTAGAGCATTATAAGCAGCCCTAGAAAAAAAGGTCTTTTTTTTGTCACAGTGTTACGCGATGATAAAACCTTTCTAGAAATGCGAGAGTTCAGTCAAACTAGGTCATTCTTTCAGCATAAATAGATTATGATAAGTTGCGTCGAATGACGTTTGAACGAACTTATTAGCTCTTATGCCTTTCGAGATAATTGAAAAATGATTTGTCAAAATATCACAGCGTTACGTTTGGACAAGCCGTTAAGTTCAACTGACTATGAATATTCGATGTTTAACCCTAGTTTTACTGGGGATTTTTTTTTGAATCTTTAATTTTTTTTTCTTGTGCTTTTAACTTAGGCAAAATATCAAAACAATCTCAGAAGACAAAGAAATTGATGGATGAGAGCGCGGACAGTGGATTATTCCAGTATTAAGGTTATCGTTCATAATTGTGTTGAAAATCTTCCGTCGACATTGATATTGTTCGACATGAAATTGTTTCATCTAACTGACGATCGAATTGATGATATTTACGAACGCGTTTTAATTTATTTAAAACATCATATATTTTGTATCAAAGTACATATGCGAGACTTACTTCTCGACATGATCTGCCATCTAGATTTCTACGAGATATTTTGTCGACTCGTTCTTTTGACAAAAAGTACTTTCAAAACGACTGGGCTCTTTGAACTCATGAGGCAACGTTTCCGAATGATACCAACCATTCGGACTCATATTTTGCTCATAAGTAGGATCCAGTGAGACTAAAAAAAGTCTAAAAGATTTCGTACCATTAGGCCTTTCTTTCAAAGTTATGATCATTTTACTGAATTTTCTACCTCTGGCTAGTAATTTAAGGAAAAGTTGAATGAGAGATTTTTGGGTTGAGATTTTACCTAACAATAGGTTTCATCGATATTAGAAAACTGTAAAAATTTTAGTTAAAACAAACGCATTATTTTCGAAATACTGCATATTCAAACGAAGCCAATTGCACGATAATTTTTAGAAAATCACCCTTTTTCTTCACAGTATGCCGCATTTCCAGAAGTTGGGTCCATTTTAACTGAAATTTTTACAGTCTTCTAATATCGATCAGACCGATCGTTACGCAAAATTTCAGTCCAAAAGTTCCTCATTCAACTTTTCCTTAAATTACTTGCCCGAGGTAGAACGTCCAGTAAACGATGAAAAATTTGAAAGAAAGGCCTAATGGTACGAAATCTTTTAGACTTTTTCTAGTTTCACTAGATCCTACTAATGAGCAAAATATGGAGTAGCTGCCTAATTCGACTTCGAAAATAAATTAAATTTTCCGAAAATTCTATTGTGCACAGGCAAAAGATAAAGATAACTTTTATCGTATTTATAAACTTTAGAATTCGAATTGAGGCACTAATACAAGTAGGGCAAAAAAACAAAAGACAAAATTTGATCCTAGCTATAAATTTTATAATTTGAATTGACGCATCCATATACGTAAGGCAAAAAAGCAAAAGATAAAATTTTATCCTAGCTATAAATTTTATAATTCGAATTGACGCATCCATATAAGTAAGGCAAAAAAGCAAAAGATAAAATTTTATCGTAGTTATAAATTTTATAATTCGAATTCAGGCACTAATATAAGTCCACTCGCACGAATCCCGGCAAGATGCTCCCCGGATAGTTGCTCCCTGGACTTTTGCTCCCCAGTGACACTTGCTCCCTGGGCACTTGCTCTCCGGACATTTGCTCCCCAGAGGCATTTGCTCCCCAGAGGTATTTGCTTCCCAGAGGCATTTGCTCCCCAGCGGCATTTGCTTCCCAGAGGCATTTGCTCCACAGAGGCATTTGCTCCCCAGAGACACTTGCTCCACAGGCACTTGCTCCCTAACTGTATTTAACAAAAATGTTAATCAGCAATAGATTAAGATAAAAATTTATCTATCTGAGGGTATGGGTATGTCGGTGTGAGTGTGTCAGTGCAAATTATGGACAAATGGTTATCCTCTTCACTCACCCACAGCCACAGCCACAGCCACACCCACACACCCACAAATAAATAAATTTATATCTTAATCTCGTGCTGATTAACATTTTTGCTAAATACAGTTAGGGAGCAAGTGCCTGGGGAGCATCTTTCTGGGAAGCATCTTGCCGTTTACCCACTCGCACACTCACGAAATTCGTCGCTGCACCCACTGTTGCACAATGCTCCCTGCGCACCCACCAGTCCTTTCGCGGCACCCAGTTGCGCGATATACCGATACTCTTTTCCAGCAAGAATGGTGATTGTCATCGCAGGTAATGAGTCAGCTATCTAGAATAACTATGCTGCGATCACACGTCAGTTTCCAGCGACTCATATCAGAATGCTACTGAGCTACCTACGTTCACTTTTTGCACTATTGAGGTAGCTTTGAGTATTCGTGATATTACTAATAACATTTCTGAGGTTGCTAGTAACACTTCCGAGAATGATGGCAGCATACTGGCGGTTCCTAATAGCATTCCCATGGCTGCTAGTTAGACACCAGAGAGTGCTTGTAGCATATCTGAGCATGCTTGACGCATACCTAATGATGCTCGATGGATACCTGGCGATGCTAAAAACATACCAGCCGTTCCAATAAGTATTCCTACGGATCCTCGAAGCATACCTCAGTATGGGACTCGTTTCCTACAGAGTTAACTAACATCCACTGGATAACTTCTGGTTCTGGGTGAAAACGCTGCAGTCATTGGAAGGTGGGTATGTGATACCTATTCTGACCTTCCTCTTTAGGACTATCAGCGAATGTGATGAGGACCGACTTCACTGCGTACACACAGACCCTTTTTTGGTAGCTGCTCTGCGGGGACGCTTCGCGACCCCACGCCGCGACGCTTAAATAAAAGCGTGTGTAAGTAATGTGCTGAGTTGCGCTAAGACTCTCGTCATGTTAATACTAAAAATTACAGCAGACTGTTTTGCTATGACGCAAGGGAGTGAGCGTTGGTTGAGCGGATAGCAAAATCTGTGAAAGTATGATAATAGCGTATAGCCCCCTTGTGGCAGATGGTCAGCTCACCGTAGTATCATATTGACACGTGACAAAATGCGACGCTGCGCTGCTAGCAAACATGAAATCTTTAGCTAAAGATGTGCCCCATGTTGCTCTGCAATTCAACCAGCAGCTATCTTTATGATATAGAAATCTATCCGGTCATTCAGATGTGGCGTTCACAATATGGAGCAGTTATCCTTTACTAAACAGTTTCATTATCCTGTTAGAAGAGTGTCGGAAGTGTTGTTGTTGATTATAGAAAATTTTACTAATGGACAGGTTCTGACCTGACTCAGTAGTCGAGCAAGCACACTTTAAAATTTGCACTTTCTGAAACGCCATCCAGTGATGTCTCAATTCAAATTATAAAATTTATATTTAGGATAAAATTTTATCTTTTGCTTGTTGCTGTAACTTTATAAGTGCCAGATTTTTTTATTTTAGAATTGATATTATGCAGTTGAACCTTCATTTACGTATATTCGAATTCGAATTAAGCATCTTATGAGGATGAGACGAGCGTCTTCCAATTCATGCACCATTAACATGACAAGTAGGATGTGCGCACCATTTATTTGAATCGGGCATTTTTAAATGATGAACAATTCAGTTTAGAGAGATATATTAATATGAATAACATGATAAACGATGAAACAGATCATCTTAATCATTAATCAAACAAAGGCAATCAAATAGCCAATAAAAAAGGATTTTGTCCTTCATTTTACAAAAAATTCACGAAATGGTTGATCCATATCCATGTATCTCCAATAGTCAATTGAACTTAATTAGTTGCCTTTGAATTCATGACGAAATCTTTCACTGGTGAAAAATTAGGTGAAAACATTAAAAACAAATACCTTTTTTGTGTCTTTCTTTTATTTTAACATACCCGATCGCCCGAAAAACGAAGTATACCATTTTGTAGAGCAAATT